CGCGCGGCTCGGTGCGGGCTGCGCGCTGCCGCAGCGGGCTGCGCGCGGCTCGGTGCGGGCTGCGCGCGGCTGCAGCGGGCTGCGCGCGGCTGCAGCGGGCTGCGCGCGGCTCGGTGCGGGCTGCGCGCGGCTGCAGCGGGCTGCGCGCGGCTCGGTGCGGGCTGCGCGCGGCTGCAGCGGGCTGCGCGCGGCTCTGTGCGGGCTGCGCGCGGCTGCAGCGGGCTGCGCGCGGCTGCAGGGGGCTGCGCGCGGCTGCAGGGGGCTGCGCGCGGCTCGGTGCGGGCTGCGCAGGCCTGAAGGGCGTGTAGGGGCGGCGCGCGGGCCTTACGGGCCTCTAGGGGCAGCGCGCTGGCCTAGGGCAGCAGGAGGCAGCGCTAGGGCTGCTGGACGGCTCGCGTAGTGCAGCACGTCACAAGGCAAGGCAAGGCAGGCAGGTACGTGGGGTAGCGCGGTAACCGCAGTGGTAGGTGGGTCCAGCTGTTAACTGGAGTTCGTTCTGCGAAACCGCCCAATACAGCACGTGGGATGCGTGGTGCGCAGGGCTTCGGGCGCGCTTCGAGCCGATCGCGGCTTCTATTTCGGCGCGTCAGAAACTGCGTACTTGGCGGCAGCTCGGATCGGTTCAAGATTACACGAGTGGATTTCTCGCACTTTGCGAGCAAGTCGGTTATATGCACGAGGCGGAGCGGGTAGACCGTTACGTCGGAGGGCTGAAGCCGGACATCTCGCATGAAATCATGCTACGCGGGCTCTCGAATTTTAACGAGATCCTCGCGCTCGCCGAGAAAATCGACATCCTACGACGACCGAGACCGGGGTTTTACTACGGACATCGTCCTCGGGGATCGATCGAGCACGCCACTGTGAACGCCGTTGCGACGAATGCAGCTGCCGCGCCGTTTAAGGGGCGCTGCTTTGCTTGCAACAGGGTGGGCCATCGCAAGAGCGAATGCCCAGAGGAGCTAAGGCGCCGGGGAGCAGAGCAGGGGAGGGAGTCTCAGAGGCAGGGAAACGCCAGCAGTCAGTAGAAGTTGGGCCAACTACTGACGAGACTGCCTGCTCGCCCAACCGCACCGACCCTCACCGAGTCACAGTACCGATTCACGCTATCGATCGGGCTCGGATGAATAAGGAGGGTACAGCGACGGATTGCCCAGTACTGATCCACGGGAAAATACAGGGAGCAGCAGTGAAGATTTTTATCGACGGAGGAGCAAGCCACAGTTTAGTTAATACCGCAACCGCACGGAAACTGCAACTGCCTCTTAGCCGGTGCTTACTAGAGATCGACGCACGTCTAGTTGACGGCACGCCGCTGGCCATACGAGAGAAGGTGGAAAGGGTAAAAGTTCGCTGCGGGGGGAACTTCGGATTTATACAGGAAATGCTCGCGACGACATTGGATGGGCACGATATTTTACTGGGACGTGATTGGCTGCGACGGTATAACCCGCGAATCGACTGGACGACGGGTAGCTGCACTGTGCGAAGTAGCGGTAACTGGGTCGCGCTACCTCGCTGGCAGTCGCCCGAGTCTTCAACGGTCCACGTCAACGCCATCACGATGAAACGGGCTGTCGCCGCTGGAGCTGACGTGTACGCTAAACCCTAAACCCTAAACCCTGACGTGTGTCGAGCTAAACCCGTGGATATAGCATTAGTAGGAGCAGCGGAGCAGCCGAGCGATTTTCAGAAACTGCTGGCAGCGGTACCGCCCGAACTACAGGAGCTGTTGAAACGGTACCCGGGGATTTTTCCGGACAATTTACCGGAGGGACTGCCACCTCAGCGGGCACATGACCATAGGATAGAATTAGAACCGGGGGCACAGCCAACTGTACAGCGCCAATTCAGACTGACACAGCCCGAGCTCGACGAACTGAGGAAGCAGTTAGATTACCTGTTAGAGAAAAAATTCATCCGGCCAAGCTCGTCACCATTCGCCGCACCGATACTGTTCACACCGAAAAAAGACGGGGGTTTTCGCATATGTATCGACTACAGAGCACTGAACAGGGTAACAGTCAAGTCGCGATACCCCATTCCCCGCGCCGACGAACTGATCGACCAACTGCGAACAGCACGAGTGTTTTCGAAAATCGACTTACGGGGGGGGTACCATCAGATTCGGGTCGAACCATCGGACTGCGCCAAGACAGCTTTTAGGACTAGGTACGGGTCGTTCGAATACACGGTAATGCCCTTCGGACTGACCAACGCCCCGGCGACTTTTCAGATGACCATGAACGAGGCGTTTCGGCCGCTCTTAGATAAATGCGTCATAGTTTACCTCGATGACATCCTAGTTTACAGTCAGGACAAGCAGCAGCACTTAGCGGATCTGGAAGCGGTTTTTAAGGTCTTAGAAGAACATCGCTTACTGACCAAGGGTTCCAAGTGCGAGTTCTTTCAGGATAGGCTAGAATTTTTGGGGCACGTCATTTCGGAGGCTGGAGTTGAAATCGACCCAAAGAAGCTGGATACAGTAAAAGCATGGCGTCCCCCGACCAACATCACGGAACTGCAGAGTTTTTTAGGATTCGTCAATTATGTGCGTCGGTTCGTCCCCGACATGGCACAATTGACTGCCCCACTGACTGACTTACTGCGGAAGGGGGTCGCTTTTACGTGGGGGGAGAAAGAGCATGCTGCCTTCTCTGCCCTGAAAAATGTTCTCTGTTCACCGCCCGTCCTGCGCATTGCCGACCCACACCGCCCATTCGAAGTTGTTACTGACGCGAGCGACATCGCCATTGGAGCCGTACTGCTACAAGACTTCGGCAACGGCCTACAGCCCATCGCATACGAGTCACGAAAACTGCATCCGCCCGAGCGAAATTACCCGATACACGACCGCGAAATGCTCGCGATCGTGCATGCGTTCAAAGTGTGGCGCTGTTACTTGACCGGCGCAGACGTGACAGTACGGACAGACCACCGATCACTACAGTACCTCCGCGCACAGCCCCACCTCAACCCACGACAGATTCGCTGGCTCGATTTCCTCGAGTCGAATTTTTACTACACGGTCACCTATAAAAAAGGAGCCTCGAATATCGCCGACGCACTGACCCGCCCCACTGCCCAAATCCACGCCATACTACTCGCCCAGACCAGCCCGCTACTGACAGGACTATTTACCCACGGATATCAAACAGACCCATTCTTCACAGGAGGAAATTCGCAGCAGTTCGCAGCAGCCAAGGGAGTCTATTACGCAAAAGCCGGGACCGACCGCATCTGGGTACCAGGGTACACACTACTACGGAAACTACTTTTACAGGAGGCACACGACGGGGCTACCTCGGGACATTTCGGGGTAGAAAAAACACGACAGCAGCTGCAGCGGTATTATTATTGGCCCGAAATGTTGACCGACGTGCAGCGACACGTGGCATCGTGCCCCACTTGCCAGATCATGAAGTCATCACGGAAGCGGTCGGCGGGACAGTTGCAGCCGATCCCACCCCCATATCGTGCTTGGCAGCAGGTGACGATGGACTTCGTCACGGGGTTACCGGCCGGGGCAAGTGGAAATGACGCGATCCTGGTCGTCGTCGATCGGCTGACGAAAATGGCACACTTCGCAGCCTGCAAGAAATCAATCACAGCCGAAGAAACAGCCCGCCTCTTCATCGCCACCGTCGTACGACTGCACGGGATACCAGCGTCAATCATCAGCGACAGAGACACGAAATTCACCAGCAACTTCTGGCGGAACCTGTGGCAGCAGTTCGGCACGCGACTACAGTTCAGTTCATCATACCACCCCGAAACAGACGGACAGACAGAACGGACAAACCAGACCATGGAACAGCTCATCCGGGCCACGTGCGACGACCCGAGCACGTGGGAACAGCAGCTGCCACTCATCGAATTCGCATACAACAACGCCCCATCCGCCACGTCCCAACAGTCACCGTTTTACTTGAACTACGGACAAGACCCAACAGTACCCATGACCCCGAATCCAGACAACCCGGTCCCACGTGCGCAACAGTTCGCCGAAATTTTGCAAGCGGCACGGACCAGGGCAGCAGACGCGATTAAAAAGGCTAACATCATCGCTAAACGCAACGCCGACCGCCACCGCAGACCTGTCACTTACCAGCCCGATGACTTAGTTTTGCTCGACACCCAAAATCTCCGACTGCCCGTCACCCCGAAACTCCGCCCCCGATATTGCGGGCCATTTCGCATCAGCCACATGATCACACCCGTCACCGCCCACCTCCTCCTCCCTGCTGACTGGTACGTCAGCCCTTCGTTCCACGTCAGCCTGCTTCGCCCTTACGTCCCGTCCACGAGCCAACTGCCACGCAATCGCCCAGCCAGCATGACACGACCGCCAACTGAACCAATCATCACCCCCGAAAAAATCCTCAGCCACCGAGTTCGTGACCCTCGAGAAGCCCGAAGGATCAAGTTCCTGATTCGCTGGAAAGACCGTACACCCACCGAAGATAATTGGGTTCCCTTGGACAGCATCGAAAACCACCCCACCCTAACCGAGTATCTGCGCAGCCGAAATTTCAGGGACGTACACGCACTTTCGTAAGGAGGACCTCCTTAGGGGGGGGGGTAGTGTAAGGAAAATCGCCTTTTCCTTACTTCGCATCCCTGCTCAACGCGTACATCACTGTAGCACCACAGGCAGCACCGTTACCACTCGCCCCCCTCGCATCGACAACCCGCCCGCCATTTTCGCACGTCGCACCTCGACCTCACGGCTCGGCAGGTAACCCGCGCTCCGGACCTCCGCCTCGACATTTCCCAACCTCAGTCCCAGGCCTGTCGCGCGACAACCACAGTCCATTACCGTTACCACTGCAGTTTCGCTATATAATCCTTCGCTCATGCCTTCGCTGATTGGACTCTTGCTTCGATAGTGCAATTCTCGTTCGTTCACTCAATTGCACTCGTAACAAATAGAAGCCACGGATCCGAGCGCGGGCAATACAGTAGATCGTGGGGAATGACGACTGAGCTTGAACATTTGAATGAACGCCAGACCAGATCTCTCATCTTGCACTAGTGCTGGGGTTTGTATCTCACAACGCTCCACTAGGTTTCCTCTCCGCTCTTCCGTTCTTCCAGGGGTTTGTTCTTATCTTGCGTTCTCGCCGTCCACAAGCTGACGCCTGATCTTTACAGTTCTATCTTCACAGTTCTCCGTGATGGCTGAGACCAAGGAAACCTATCAGGAGGAAGAGCTCGTAGATTTCGAAGAGGAAGAAGAAGCCGCTCCCGATGCCGGAGCTGCCAAAACGACAGAAGCGGCTAGGAAGTAAGCTGGGCGTGTGCTGGTCTCTTCAAAGAGCTGGTCCTGTAATCGATCTAGAAACTTGAGCTCATTTGTTACGCCGTACGTTGCGCAGGGGATATGTCGGGATTCATAGCTCTGGTTTTCGTGACTTCCTACTCAAGCCCGAGCTGCTTCGCGCTATTGTGGACTGTGGTTTCGAACACCCATCAGAAGGTGCATACATTCGCTGAAGCATGTTTAGGGTGTGATTTCTTGCCGCATGCCCGATGTAGTTTCTGAGGTAATTGTTCCTTCTTGCAGTGCAACACGAGTGTATTCCCCAAGCCATTCTTGGAATGGATGTGATCTGCCAAGCCAAGTCTGGTATGGGGAAGACCGCTGTGTTTGTGCTGGCAACGCTTCAGCAGATCGAACCAGTAGCTGGAGAGGTGTCTGCACTGGTTCTCTGCCACACCCGTGAACTCGCGTATCAGGTGTGCTAGTTGTCCCCTCCACAAACTTCAACGTAGCCCCCCATAAATGTCTAGGTAGGATTCTGACCAATTTCATGTTGCTGCAGATCTGTAACGAGTTTCAGAGGTTCACCACATACCTTCCGGATGTCAAAGTCGCGGTCTTCTACGGTGGCGTGGCGATCAAGACGCACAAGGATATGCTCAAGAACGAGTGCCCGCACATTGTCGTCGGAACACCTGGTCGTATCCTCGATCTTGCTCGGCAGAAGGATCTGAACTTGAAGCACGTTCGCCACTTCATTCTCGACGAATGCGACAAAATGTTGGAGTCGCTTGGTAAGTCTTGCGCAGGCGTGCGGAAATGTTGTTCCACTGACTTGTTGAAAGATGCTCTTTTTTTCGCAAATGTACTGATTCGTCGTTACTTTGATGTAACAGATATGCGGAGGGATGTTCAGGAGATCTTCAAGCTTACTCCTCACGACAAGCAGGTCATGATGTTCTCCGCGACGCTCAGCAAGGAGATTCGCCCCGTCTGCAAGAAGTTTATGACCGATGTAATTATCCCCGATGCACTCGACCTCTGTAGCCAGGACATCATCGCCAGTGGGTGTGTCAGCAGCTGTGCTCATCAGCTCCAGCCTAGCGGGATCAGCTTAGAACCATGGGTATTCGATGTTAGGTTGAGAAGTGGAGCTGGTCAGAAGTTTCTGAGGAGTGGGGTATCGCGTGTGAGATGAACTAGTGGTTGGAAGCTTATGGCTGGGGAGTCTTTAGTTCGGGAGAAGATTTGGGGGTGGTGAAGGGAGGAGGCAGTTGAGGGACTGATTGGTTTGCGGACTGGAGATGGGAGTTCTTCTGGTTGAGGTCGGACCCAGCTTCCAGCCGTTGGTGCGGATGATTGAGTGCTGGGCCGCTTCGGAGTCGCGTGCTCTGAAGGCATCAATTACTCACGCGGAAAGCCATCTGAGACCCTCGATTGACAATGGGTACCGCAACCCTTGTTCTCGCTTCCTAACATCTCGCTATTTTACTCCACGATTTGCGGGAACGACTGTGTAGGGTCTTTCATGTGCATGTTTTCCATTTTTATAGGTGATCCAGCGCGGCTCGTTTACGTGCTTCTGTGCGGAGCAGGTGCAGTATCAGCAACTGTCGCATTCCCGTATCATTCTCCCTCCCCTTGTTTGTGCTGTGTACAGCCGATGGAGATCTATGTTGATGACGAAACGAAGCTGACACTTCATGGACTCGTTCAGGTTGGTACAGCTGTTTGTGACCTCCTCCATTCAAATTTGGAGGCTTCTCGTTTACTTACGGTTTGCATTCTACATCCTGCAGCACTACATTCAATTGAAGGAGAACGAGAAAAACAGGAAGCTGAACGACCTTCTTGATGCGCTTGACTTCAATCAAGTCGTGATTTTTGTCAAATCAGTGAACCGCGCTGCTCAGCTGAACAAGCTTCTGGTGGAATGCAATTTCCCTGCGATTTGCATTCATTCTCAGATGACACAGGAGGAGAGGTAAGCTTGTTGGTCAAGATATTTGCTGTTGTCACTCTGCAGCTTGTTGCTTACTTAACTCGCTTATTTTGCAGGCTGACCCGCTACAAGGCATTCAAGGAGGGACACAAACGCATTCTGGTGGCAACAGATCTTGTGGGGCGTGGCATTGACATTGAGCGAGTCAATATTGTCATCAACTACGACATGCCTGAAAATGCAGACACGTATCTTCATCGGGTATGTTGAAACCTACAATGGATGTCTGAGTATGCATGAAAGCACTTGGATGTGACTTCTAATGTGTTTCGAACTCGGGTTGTTTCAGGTTGGCCGTGCTGGTCGTTTTGGCACCAAGGGTCTAGCTATTACTTTTGTGAGCTCAGAGGAGGATTCAAAGAAGCTGGATCAGGTTTGTGTTTGCTGTTTGTGATGTCATTGGGTTTTGTGCTATGTTGCTTTTGTGCAACTACATCACAACGCTGTTTCCATTCTTTGGCACTGAGTTTGCAGGTTCAGTCACGGTTTGAAGTTGACATCAAGGCCTTGCCAGAGCAGATCGACACGTCTACGTACAGTAAGTTCCGCCTGTGCCAAGCTGGCACCCAATGTAGTTGTGCTTTTGTGACACCTAAATATACTAAGTGTCTCCTTTTCTGTGGTTTTGCAGTGCCTTCCTAGATACATCATGTGGGCCTTGTTATGGAAAAGGACCAGCGGCCATCTCATGTGTTTTTTAGTGCCGCCTGAGATGTAGCTGATCATTGTGGAATTATATCTTTTTGATATGTGTTGTTACATTTTAACATAATTTTGAAGGCGGATTTTTTTAACGCTGTTTCTAGCACGTGTAGTTACGATGTCGAGTTACAACGTGTCTTCTACTAGTGTCGTAATATCGAGTTGCGCCAGGAAACTGATTTCTCGTGGAAGACCAATCGACACAACGAGATCACAATCAGGCCATTGTCCCAAGCGCCCCTTCTCATAACTCGCCTCCCCTAGTACTAAACCGCCATCTGCTACCAGGATTCGAAGTCTGCAGTTGCAACCTACACTGCACCCAGCTTCCTCTCGCGCTCCGGTGCTTTTTCAACAGCAACTCGACCATGTCGGCCGTCACCATTCGAGTACCGTTAGGAAATGACACACTATTGAAGCTTCAAATGCCTCCCATAATGCAATCGTAATCCAACATATTCCAACTTGTGAAAGTTGAGCGACGAGAGCCGAACTCCTAAATCATGCCTTTAGGGAAAGCGTCCCTCTTGTTCTTGCTTTGCTGCTATGCGCAGTGAGCACCTATATCAGCGGAGCCCGAGCGCAGGCTAGCGGCGATGGCTCCTTATCTCCAGGCCTGAACGCAAACGCCAGTCTCATCGACTGCGGGTGCAGCCCATACGCCCCACCCGTCTGTGGCTCCGACTTTGTCACTTATTCTTCTTACTGCGACGCGCAGTGCTACAACGTCAGGATCTTGGCCCGAGGCGCCTGCACCCGCTCCATAATTTGCAACCGCGCGTGCCTTAACCGAGCAGGAATGGCTCCTGATTCAACCCTCGGGATCAACAACCTGGACACCTCGTGCGGGGCTGTTTGCCCGTTTCCCGAGCTTCCTGGGGGTATCGCGTTCAATTGCCCTGATAGGTACCGATCTGCGTGCAACCAGGCGTGCATGCAGACCGCTACCACTGTTTTAAGAAACGGAGGGAAGTACTTGACTGCTTATAATACGTGCAGGTCCGGATGCTTGTATTCACGCTGCGGCATCTGGAAATAGCTTACCAATCGTTGTGGAAACAGGCAGGTTCTGCGTACCGTATCTATCACCTTGTGCAGCTTCTTCATCTTCATCCTAGCCAATTCTTTGTGGACAAATAAGAACCGTCTGGTTCCTGCCAGGCGTGCATAAGTATCCCATGCTCCTGTCATTCCCACTATATAGATGTTCTCATTTGTTTGTGGTGCGGTGTGCTGTTATCAAGGGTAGCAGCAGGTCGTTGTAATGTAACCTCCCGTGCTGGTTCCTTCTTCCAGTCGCCACTTCACAGCAACAAGGCATTTGACAATGTGACAATGTGGCAGTGGTCTAGTCCATGTTGAAAGTTCCACCCACTGCCACTTTTGGTACCTTACCATGCACACCCAAAAGCAAGGAATACAGTACCTGCGGGAAACTGCTCCATCTACCAACCAACGGGAGGTTACTTAAAATTATACCGTACATGCTGAAACAGCGGTGCGGCACCTGTATTTACTACATGTGGTAAGCCACAGTATCCTGCTTACAAAACTATGGTTGATACAGTAGGGAGCCCTGATGCTATGAGATGGTGTTCGTGCCGTATTCAACTAGCAATACTTATGTTATATTACAGTGACCTCATGCTACAGTCCAGCTACAGAATTTTCTCACACCATATTACCCGTCCGTTCCACCCGCCCCACCATCAGAAACCACCACTGGTTGCCCCCTCTTCCCTCTCCCTCCACCCCTCCCTCTACCCTCGCTTCCCCTTCCCCGTCCCCCGCTTCCTCTCCCCCCTGCATTCCCCTCCTTCCCTCCTCGCTTTCCATATCTTCCCTTCCCTCCTCTCCCCCTCTTTCCCTCCCCAAGCTCCTCTGCTCCTCTCATTTCCTCTCCTCCTGCCTTTCCCCCCTCCCCAGCATCACCATCCACGCAAACTCCCGCACACTCTACCACCGTCCCTCCCCTCCTCCCCACTCTCCCTCCCCTTCTCCCCCTCCCTCTCTTTCCACCTCTCTCAGATTCATCTGCCCTCGCCCTTGACCATCCATTCTCTTCGGGTGCCCGTTCTGCTGCCCCTCTCGCCTTCTCCTGGTGTTTCGAAACGTTCTCATCTCGGGCTGCCCGTCTCTTTCTCAACCCCATGGGGATATTTTCTTCCTGGTCTGCCCGCCTCTTTCTAGGCCGTTTTGATCCAAGTGATGCAGCAAAAGCACCAGCATCAGCATCACCGCTGCTAGCACCATCTGCACCGCACCCAACCTCACAATTGGCTATAACTGAGCCATCCAAACCATTTACATGCAACCCTCTCCTGTCCCCAGTCACTTCCAAGCCTCCTCTACCGAACCTGGATCGGCGCACCGGTATACTGCTCCGAGCCTTCCTCACCCAAGCCTGAGCTCCACTTTGTGTTGCATTCCAAGCCTCTGGCCCAGTCCCAACCCTATCGTCTAACCCGTCCCCGATCCTAACCTCTGGCCCATTCCCGTCCCTCCTTCCATCTTTGGCCTCACAAGCAACAGCCTCCAGTTCAGAGCTTTGAAGCATTCCACTTCTCGCCACAACAGATTCGTTTTCAGCCCTCGCCTCCGGGTCAGACATTAGAGTCGTGTCATAACCAGGAATACGGCCGTCTCGTTCGGAACCCTGGACCTGTATTTCCCCAACAAAGTTTTCTTCTGCCCGCCCAGCCTCCTCCACTCTCACTTCAATACTTTGCTCCCCTTGCTCTCCCCACTCGTCCCTTTGATCCACACCTCCTCCGCCACCCCTGATTTCCCCATTGGGATCTCCCAGCCCACCCCTGCTCTCTTGATCCTCCCCTCGCTCCTCGTGCTCCTCCCCTCCTTCCTCTCCCCCTCTCTCTTCTTGTTCCTCTCTTTCCTGTTCCCCTCGCTCCTCGTGCTCTTCTCCTCCTTCCTGTCCCCCTATCCCCTCCTGCTCTCCTCCTCCCACCTGATCCATTGAATCCTGTGACACATTTATTTCCTCCTCCTCCACAACACCTGCCCCTGATCCCTCTTCCTGCCCTACCACGTCGCGTCCTCTTCTCTTTCTCCTCCGTTTGACAGGTCTCAAAAGCGACTCTGGCCCCTCTACATCTTCTCGCCCTCTCACTCCTCCTCGTTTGTAGCTTTTCAAAGGCGGCTCTTGCCCCTCCACGTCTTCACCTCGTCTCTTTCTTCCCCGTTTTAGGCTCCTCACAAGTGACTCTTGCCCTTCCCTGTCAATTTCTCTTTCCACTCTTCCCCTCCTCGCTTTTTTGCCTCTCTTGCTTCTTCCCACCTTCGCACCTTCTCCCTCCCTCACTCCTTCGCTCCCACTCACGTCCTCGCCTTCACTCACGCCATCACCCCCTCTCACGCCCTCTTCCCCATTCACGCGTTCTCTCTCTTCCACACTTTCTCCCTCCCTCACACGTGCTTCACCATTCACACCACCATCTCCCTCCCTCACACCTTCCCCATCTCCCAATCCTCCACTTCCTCTCATCCCTTCTTCACTCCCTCCCTCTCCCCCACTCGCTCCCCCAGACCCAACTGGCAACCCCCCTCCACGAATCCAATGCAGCAGCACCATCTGATGAAGATTCCGAACCTGAGCCTCGGTCCGAGCCTGCTTGGTCCGGCGCACGAGCCTCCTGCGTGCTGCTGTCCGAACCTGATCGGTCCAGGGCCGATCCAAGACGCTCCAGCCAATGGGAAGAAAGGGAGGTGGTAACCGGTGCGCATGTAACAGCGAGGGATGTAACACGGACGGGTGTAGCAAGGGAGGTCGCATGAAGTGGGGTTGGTGTGGAAAAGAGGGGGGGAAGAGGAATGGCAGAGGGGGAAAAGGAGGAGGAGGGAGAGAGGGGTTGAAGAGAAGGAAATGGGATGAAGGGGGATAGAGAGAAGGGGGGGTAGCAGAAGGTGCAGCAGCAGCAGCAGGAGCAGTAGCAGGAGGAGCAGAAGAGGGGGAGCCTGGGAGCATCCCTGCAGTGGCTCCTGCTTCCCCTCCTTCTCCCTCTTCTCCTCCTCTCCCCTCACCCTCATTCCCCTGCTTATCACCACCCTCTCCCTCCCCCTTCCCGCCTCCCCCTCTTCCCCCCTCTTGCTCCGCCATCTCCTCCCCATTCCCCCCCTCGGCCCCGGCTTTGTTCCCCTTGGCCTTCCCCCCTTCCGCCTCCCCCCCTTTGCTCTTCTTCCCCCTCCCCCTGGAGTCCCCTGGCGCTCTCAGGAGTCGACGGCGAGGGGGAGCGGGAGGGGGAGGAGCAGGGGAAGGGATAGGCGCAACAGGAGTAGGAGGAGCCGGAGCAAGGGGGGTTGAAGCAGCAGGGGGAGCAGGAGCAGCAGGAGCAGGGGCAGTGGGGATAAGGGCAGCAGGAACAGGAGTAGGAACAGAACGAGCAAGAGGATCCAGAGCAGGTGGGGGAGGAGTATGGGTAGTAGGGAGGGAAGGAGCAGCAGTAGGAGGAGGAGGAGCAGGAGTAGGAGGAGGAACAGGAGGAGGAGGAGGAACAGGAGAAGGAAGAGGAGGATCAGGAGTAGGAGCAGAACGGGCAAGGGGGTCCAGAGCAGGTGGGGGAGGAGTAAGGGTACTAGGGAGGGAAGGAGCAGCAGCAGGAGAGGCAAGAGTTGTAAGAGCAGCAGGAGCAGGGGCAGGGGCAGTAGGAGCAGCAGGAGAGCGGGCAGGTGAACGGGCGGGAGCTGAGGCAGCAAAAGCTGCAGGAGCAGCAACTGTTGCAATCGGTGCAGTTGTTGCTGCTGGTGCTGACGGTGCTGATGGTAGTGTTGTGGGTGCTGACGGTGCTGATGGTAGTGTTGTGGGTGCTGATGGTGGTGCTGGAGCAGCAGCAGCATCACTACCACTAGCACCACTAGTTCCTGTGAGTATATTTGTTGATGGCGTTACTAGATGCGGCGGTATCGTTACTGCAATTGCTGGTGTCACTGCCCCTGTTGCCGCCACAGCACTCAGCACTCCGTTTACCTCCTCTGCTGCATTTCCCACCCTCCGTCTCTTCTGCCGCCCTACTTTTGGATGCATCTTGAGCCACTGCCTGCGGGGTGGCATCATGAAAAAAACAGGGGCAGAGACACAAATCATCAGCAATCATACAACAAGGTGACTTTTGAGTCGCTACTTTTGAGTTACTCTTAGCAGGCTTGCTGCGTTTCGAACCCATCGAATTTCAACTATGACGGAACTCAAAAGTCAGCAGATTGCTGCATCTCCCACCATCCGTCTCTTCTGCCGCCCGCCTTTCGGGTGCATCTTGAGCCACTGCTTGCACAACAGGACAAAACACGCAAGTGGCCGAAGAATCAACGTGATCAAGACGTATCACAACCTGTCTCCCTCCTTTCAGGTGCATCTTGAGCCACTGTCCGCCCAGCAATGCGCGTGAAGTGAGCGTGAGTCTATCTTTTAGTCAACTCAATAATAGAATCTTGAGCCACTGCCCGCGCAGCAATCCACACAAAGCACGGGAAGAATAAGCAAGTGACGAAACAGGCAAGGGGCAACCTTTGAGGCGCAGGAATTTCGTGATTCCCTACCTCTTGCACTGGCAGTCAGTTCTAGGCCAGCAAGCAACAGCCACGTTCGTCCAATTCCCCACGCCGAACCTCCCCACAGCCTCCTCCAGCCGCCGAACCTCCTCGCCGGACCACGGCCCGAACCTCAGGTTCGGGTCGAGCACGTTGCACCAGCGCTCCCGAACCTGCACCTCGGTGCGGTTCGGCACCAGGGCTGCGATTCTCCTCCAATGGGGCGTGCCGAACACGCCCACGGCCAATCGCAGCCTATCGTTCTCCTCAGGGGTCCACGCAGCCCTGCTGATGTGGCGCAGATGATGCTGCCAGCTGGACGGCGGGGAGAGGTGGACAAGGTGCGGATGGAGGGCAGTTCGAACTTAGAAGGTGGAAAGGAGAAACATGATGATTGAATTTTGAGAATCTTTTGAGAACCCTCAAAAGTGATCAACATTCCAGCGAGCTGCAGTTCCTAAGAAGGTTTAGCAAAGGAGAAAACAGTTGTAGTAAAACCTAGCAAGTTTACGGAGGGTTCTGTACAATCGGAGCTCTTCACTAAGCAGTGGTTAAAACACGGACAAACATGTTTCGGCTGTAGGGATGCCCCTAGCAAGCCTTCATCAGTGCCAAATGAAAGAATGTGAGCGAGGCATAGCCTTCTAAAGCAAAGCAAGAAAGGCTAACCACCGAAATATACAAATCGCTAGGCTATCTTCACCCTGGTCAACCCAGAAAGATGGGGACCAATCCAGGCTGCCCTGGAAATTCCAAGGAGCCACGTCTTCATTCCTCGACAGTGTCTTCGTGAGTAACAGGGCCTGTTTCTTCACCACTTCGCAAACTCCAAAGTCGCGCGCACACCAGTAGCTTTGACAAGCTACACCCCAATTTCCAAGCAACAAAAATCTTGTCTGCATATAATTTTGAGAGAAGTCTAATTTTGAGTCTAATTTTGAGAGAAGTCTAATTTTGAGAGAAGTCTAATTTTGAGAGAAGTCTAATTTTGAGGCGCCTCAAAAAGTGACACAAGCATGCCAAGGGATCTTGGGGGCGAGGAGAGGAGCACGTCGACAGTCATCCTTGAGCCAATATGCCATCACAAGCATGCCTGCCTCTCACATGCCATCACAAGCATGCCTGCCTCCCACATGCCATCACAAGCATGCCTACCTCCCACATGCCATCACAAGCATGCCTACCTCCCACATGCCATCACAAGCATGCCTACCTCCCACATGCCATCACAAGCATGCCTACCTCCCACATGCCATCACAAGCATGCCTACCTCCCACATGACATCACAAGCATGCCTACCTCCCACATGCCATCACAAGCATGCCTACCTCCCACATGCCATCACAAGCATGCCTACCTCCCACATGCCATCACAAGCATGCCTACCTCCCACATGCCATCACAAGCATGCCTACCTCCCACATGCCATCACAAGCATGCCTACCTCCCACATGCCATCCTCGTTCGTTCCACTCAATGGAGACACGCTCCCTCCATCATCTATTATCATCAGCCAGCATTTGTTATCGATCAGCATTGTGAGGAGAACTGAGGAACCTCAACCGAGCAGAACCACTAGCATTGTGGGAACTGAGGAACCTCAACCGAGCAGAACCACTAGCATTGTGGGAACTGAGGAACCTCAACCGAGCAGAACCACTAGCATTGTGGGAACTGAAGAACCTCAACCGAGCAGAACCACTAGCATTGTGGGAACTGAAGAACCTCAACCGAGCAGAACCACTAGCATTGTGGGAACTGAGGAACCTCAACCGAGCAGAACCACTAGCATTGCGGGAACTGAGGAACCTCAACCGAGCAGGACCACTAGCATTGTGGGAACTGAGAAACCTCAACCGAGTAGAACCACTAGCATTGTGGGAACTGAGGAACCTCAACCGAGCAGAACCACTAGCATTGTGGGAACTGAAGAACCTCAACCGAGCAGAACCACTAGCATTGTGGGAACTGAAGAATGCTGAGTTCAGCGTTGGGCGGATCACATTTAATCAGCATCAGCATCAGCATAAGCATAAGCATCAGCATCAGCATCAGCATCAGCATCAGCAACAGCATCAGCATCAGCATAAGCATCAGCATCAGCATAAGCATCAGCATCAGCATAAGCATCAGCATCAGCATCAGCATCAGCATCAGAATCAGCATCAGCATCAGCACCACCAAGATAGCCTCCTTACAGTCACTCACCGCTGCAAGCACTCCCTGCCGCTCCGCCCTTCCACTGCCAGCGCCACTGCCGCCCAGTTCACCTCCCCGTGCCGCCTCACTGCCGCTGCCAGCTGTCTGTCCTCTTCTGCCGACCAATGGCGTCGCGCCACGTGTGGGTTCCACCACTTCTGGTACCCCATCAGACACTGCAGCGCCGTCCTCCTCCTCCTCTCCCCCTTCCCACTCCCCTTCCCTTCCTCTCCTCTCCCTCCTGGTCTTCCTACCCCTCGTCCATTTCCCCTCCTTTCCCCCTCCCTCCCCACACTCTCTCCTCCTTCCTCCCACAACACCTCCTCTCCTTCCTCCTCCTCTCTTACTCTTTGGTTGACCTCTTCTGCAATCCCTTCCCACCCGCACAGTCCCCTACTCTCAGCCACCTCCTTTAATATCTCCTCCTCCCTCTCACTCCACTCGCCCCACGTTATACTCGGATCGTCCACGTTCAACCATCTGAAACGCAAGGAAAACAGTTACACACGTTACAAACTGCACTGGACCTCTCCTTCAATATCTCCTCCTCCCTCTCACTCCACTCGCCCCACGTGATGCTCGGGTCATCCACGTTTAACCACCTGAAACATATGGAAAAAAAAAAAAGTCAAACCGTTTTGAAGTGCACGGATCCACAAGTGCAGCCTCTGGCATCAGCTACTGCGATCTGGTTCTTCACAATCGACCACAATCTACCGCTCTTCACCACACTCAACCCCCCTCTAAACCTCAATCTGCACTCCAGAGCTGTGCGCCTGAGGTGCAGGCCCCTTCCGAAGCTCCTATTGGCCGGATTCACAAACGCAGCCGCGACCACAACCCAGTCCAAAACCCCTTACAGAATCCTAATCCATACCTACCAAACCGCAATTCACCGCACTGAAAACCCCTCAATACCTCAATTTGCACTCGAGAGCCGTGCGCCTCAGGTGCAGGCCCCGTCCGAGGCTCCTATTGGCCGGATTGACAAACGCAGCGGCGACTGTCGACCAATCAACTCGCGCCACGGCAGCACGCATGGCCTCTGGTGTGAGCTGGCGCGATTTGATCTCTGCTATGGTGCGCTGTAGGAGGGACCTGGCGTGGGGGCAAAGCAAAGGGAGAAATGCACGAAAAGAGGAGGAATAAAAGGGAGAGGGGGTGTTAGGTGTATGAAGAAGTGTTTTGAGACGTCTCAAAACACTTCTTCATACAATGTATGAAGAGAGGAGGAATAAAAGGGAGAGGGGGTGTTAGAGGAACGTGTGGGCACGGCAGCACGCATGGCCTCTGGTGTGAGCTGGCGCGATTTGATGTCTGCTATGGTGCGCTGGAGGAGGGACCTGGCTGGTGGGGTGAAGGGGAAGACGAAGAATTGGGGGGTGGATGTGGGTGTGGTAACATGCATGGCCTCTACTGCGAGCTGGCGGGATTTGATCTCTGCTATGGTGTGCTGGAGTAGAGACCTGGAAGAGAGGAGTATGGGGGAGTGGAAGAACAAGGGGGTGTGACGGCAGCACACCTATAGGAGCGAGCTGACGAGATTTTATCAGGGACCTATGGTGAACTGACCGCCGTGACTTTTGAGTCGACTCAAAAGTCAAGGGGGAGTGACGGCAGCACACCTATAGGTGCGAGCTGACGAGATTTGATCAGGGACCTATGGTGAACTGACCGCCAGTTCACACCTATGGTGCCGCTGGGGAGTGACCTGGAGTCAGGGGGGCAATATGGGAAAGGCGATAATATTGGGGGTTGGGTGATGGTGTGGGTACTAGAAGCTAGTGATATGGTGTTGCTAGTAGCAAGCATTGGACGATGCATTGAGGCGTGGCTGTCGGTGTCGGTGTTGGTGTGAGAGGGCGGGGTTTGATTTCAGCTACGGTGCAACCTGGGGTCCGTGATTGCCCCTCACTTACCGCCGCCTCTCTACCTAAGTCACACCCTCACTCACACACTCCCTCACACATACGCCCACTCACCTATCCAGAGTGATCTCAGGTCTCTCTTTCATTGCCTCTTCTATCACCCTGCATCACCTGCTGTTCCACCCATCCCTCGCTCGACCAGTTATTCATGAACTCACCTATCCAGAGTGATTTCTGGTCGTTCCCTCACTGCCTCTTCAATCATCCCCTGCACCACCTGCTGCTCCACCCCCTCCCGCAACGCATCCACTTCCCCCTTCCCCCACTTCCTCCCCCGGAACACCAGCGGCATCACCCCTCTCAACCGCTCAAACACCCCTTGATCCTCGTTCACTGGCATGTTGCGCGAGGAAGCTTCCAGGTTGCTGCGATCATGCGGATCCGGGTCAAATCCCAGGGAGGAGTATTTGTGTTTTCTCCCGCGCTTGTGCCTCGGCTTAGCCCAGTTCACTAGAAGCATTTCAGCCGCGTGCCCCCCGTATATGCGACCCCCACCCTCTCCTCCCCCTCCCCCTGCCATACCCCATACTCTTGCTCCTGCTCCTCCTGCTCCTCCTCCTGCTGCTCCTGCTGTTGCTGCTCCTACTCTTACTCCTGGTTCGTCTCTTGTCCCCCACCCTGCCCCTCCCCCCAAGCCTCCTATCACTCTCCTAGCAGCTTTTCTTGCCCGAGCCTCGAACCCAGCCACGGTTCTGACGCGCCGCAGCAGCTCCCGAGCCTGCCCCTCCCGAGCCTCCACCGCTGCCAGCAAATCGTGAAGTGCCAGCTGGCACCGACGGTTTGCCTGCAGAGCGATTCGAACTGCTGCCACGTCAGCAGAGGAGAGAAAGGAAGGGTCGGCGGTAGGTTCGGAAGCAGCCGCAGGAGTAAAAGCAGCAGCGGAAGCAGCAGGTTCGGTGGCAGCAGCCGGAGGTTCAAACGCAGCAGCAGGTTCGTCAGCAGAAGTTGGAGACTCAGCTGCAGGTTCGGTGGCAGCAGCCGGAGGTTCGGAGACAGATGGGGCACCTATCTGACAGGGTCTACCAACAGCATCACTCTCTTCATCCAAGCACGCCTCTGCTGTTTCCTCCTGGCCTTTCACCTGAGCATCTGGTGCCTCCTGATCATCCACCTGACTGAAAACGCCTGGTGGTGCACACAGCAGCAGCGGCATTTCCCCTGATGCGAAATCTCCCTCTCCTTCTGCAGCTGCTCCCCCTTGTGCTGTTGGGGTTAGAACCAACCCTTCTGCTGGGATTGCCACTAACGCCCCCCCCACTGATGCAGCATCCCCTGCTCCTGCTGCCGCTGCTCCTTCCTGTGCTGCAGGTAACGTCATCCCTTCTCCTGGGGATACCACCACCTCTGCTTCTGGAACCACCACTGACCCTTCAGCTGGGGTTACCACCATCCCGACAGCTGGGACTGACCCTATCGCCCCTGATGCAGCATCCCCCAATACTTCTGCATCGGCTCCCCCTTCTCCTGGGGTTACCACCAACTCTTCTTCTTCATTTACCATACACCCTTCAGCTGGGGCCACCACCAACGTTCCTCCAGAGACCACTATAGCCAACGCCTTCTCAGGTGGTGCCCCCTTAGAGACAGCAGGCGATTGTACTTCCGGTGCTGTCCCTGCGACGGGGGTTACCCCCGAATCGTCTGCTGCGGTTACCATGAGCGCTTGTCCTGATATCACTATAGCTTGCTCGGATGGTTCTTCCACTGGCGCTGTTGGTAACTGTTTCGCCCCTGCTACTAGGGTTACCACCGAATCGTCTGCTGCGGTTACCACCAGCGCTTCTCCTGAAATTACTATAGCTTGTTCAGGCGGTGCTGTCACTGCTGACTGCACCGGCACTATAGCTTGTTCAAGTGGTGCCCCCACCGACACTGCTGGCGACAGCACTTCCAGTGGTGCTGTCCCTGCTGCCCCCTCCTCTGCCCCCTCCTCTGGCCCCTCCTCTGGCCCCTCCTCTGGCCCCTCCTCTGGCCCCTCCTCTGCTCTCTCCTCTGCCCCCTCCTCTGGCCCCAACGCTGCTCCCTCTTTTACCCTCGTCTCTGCCCCTTCCTCTTCTGCCCCAACTGCTGCTGCCGCTTCGTCATTTGCCATTCCTTGCAATCTGTTCCGCCCTCCAACCGCCATATCTGCTGCTTGTGCTGCTGCATCACCATCACCGGCAGCAGCAGCAGCAGCAGCAGCAGCAGCAGCAGCAGCAGCAGGAGGAGGAGGAGGAACAGCAGTAGCAACGCCAGCAGCAGAGGCAGAGGCTAAGGTACAAGCGGAGGGCTCTTGAGTAGAATCAGCAGCAGAAGCAGTAGGAAGAGTGACGGTGGAAGCTGAAGGAGGTTCATTTAACTGAACAGCAGAAGCAGAGGCATGGGTGGAAGCAAGGGGAACTAGACTCAACTCAGCAGCAGCAGCAGCAGGAGGAGGCGCAACAGCTGATGCCACCTTCCTGGAGGAAGGAGGGAGGAAACTTCCAATCACTCCCAGCTGCCGTTCTAGTTGCCTCCTTGCCTCTGCGAGCTTCTGCAGCTCCCTCAGCTGTGCCACGTCAGCATGAGGCAATGCCACGCCAGCATCACTCATAGCTGCGATTCCCCACTCTCTTCCCTCGTCCTCCTCACCCCAACCCCCCACCCACTCACCACCGTCACCAGCATCACCATCATCACCACCATACCCATCACCACCATACCCATCACCACCATACCCATCACCAGATGCAGACACTACCTGAGGCAAATGAAACCCTCCTACCACCACTGCTCCCGCCTCTCCTTCCCCTCCTTCTCCCCCTCCACCTCCTCCTCCTTCCCCTCCGTCCCTTCCTTCCCCTGCTCTCCAACCCCCTCGTTCCCCTCCTTCCCCTCCTTCCCGTCCTTCCCCTCCAGCGGCAGCGAGACCTTTTCGGCCTACAACTAAATTCATCCCTCTCTGCCCATCGCTCACAACCCCTCTTCCTCCCTTCCCCCCTTCAGGGCCTTCCCTACCCCCTCCCTTCCCCCTTCCCCTCCCCCTTCCCCTACCCCTAGCCCCTTCCATCCCCTCTCCCTTCCCCTCAGTTCCTGTTCCACCTCTTCCCCGTCCACGTCCCCTACCCCTTCCGCCCTCTGCTCCCTCCTCTCTTCCACCCTCCCCTCTCTCACTCTCACCACCAAGAAGAGCCGATACCCTCCCCCTTCCCCTACCCCTGCCCCTTCCTCCTCTCAATTGTTGAACCCCGATTTCTCCCCCAAGCCCAGCCTCTCCCCCAAGACCCGCCTCTCCCTCACCCTCCACCTCTCCGTCAACTCTCGCCTCCCCCCCCCTCCGCCCTCTTCCTCTCCCTCTGCTCCCCCTCCCGCCACCTCTTCCCCCTTTCACTCCCCTCCCCTCAAACTCCCCGCCTATCTCACTACCCTCCGCCCCCCCTTTAGCCCTCCTCCTTTCTCCTCCTGCTACTGCTTCACCCTCTGTCCCTCTCACCCCTGCCATTCTTCCCCTCTCCTTTCCCCCTTCTCCCCCTGTTCCCCCTTTCCCTCTCCCCCCTCTTCCTCCTCCCCCCATCCCTCCCAGCAGCCCTTCAATCTCCTCCAACAACCAATCATCACCCTCACCCTCTCCCCCTCCCCTCCCACACTTCCCCACACCTCCACCTGTCCTCCCTCCCCTCCCCCTCATCCCCACACCCCCAGCTGCTCCCACTCCCCTCCCCCTCGTCTCCCCATCCCCATCACCTTGGGATGGCGCAATAAAAGGATAACCTCTGGCGGACCCTCCCACCTGCTGCTGATAACCTCTGGCGGACCCTCCCACCTGCTTTTGAGAATTCTCAAAAGCGACTCTGGCGGACCCTCCCACCTGCTGCACGGACAGGCTGCAGATTTGCCGGGCAAACTCCAACAGCGCCTCGTCCTCCTCTGCTTCGTCCCCTCCCTCCTCCTCTGTCTCTTCCTCCTCTCCCTCCTCTTCGCTTTCCTCTTCTTCTTCTTCCTCCTCTTCCTCCTCCTCTGCTTCCGCCCCACGCCCTCCCCTCACACCACTAACTGCTCTTCTCACTCCCGCTCCCTTGTCATTTCTCTCCACAAGACCCACTCCACCACTCACAACCCCTCTCCCCCGCCCCCTCCCTGGCCCCCTCCCTCGCCCTCCCCCTCTCTCCGCTACTCTCCCCCTCCCCCGTTCCACTCCTCGCCCCCTCCCTCTCTCGGCCCTTCCGCCTCGGCTGCTGCCCCTACCCACGCCTCTCCCTCCCCCCCTCCTCCTCCTCCGCCACCCCCCTCTCGCCCTTCCCCTGAAACCCTCTGCGCCACCCCCTCACTTCCGCTCCTCATGTGTGTTCCTGCTCCTCGTACAAAGGACAACGCTTGCACCTCACTTGCCGCCCGTATCTGACTTGCCGCCCGTATTTGACTTGCCGCCCGCTCTTGGTTCAAACGCGCGCTTGCTGCTCGCTGTTGACCTGCCGCCGCCTCCTCAGCCTGCCTTGCTGACGTGGCACGTTCTGTTGACGTGGCAGGCAGTGCTGGCATGGCAGGCACTGTTGACGTGGCAGGCTTCGCGACCATCATCTGACGCACCAATTGGAGCAACCTGTCATCCTCGTCCTCCTCGTCCTCCTCTCTTGCATCCTCCTCTTCTTCCTCTTCCTCTTCCTCTTCCTCCTCCTCCTCTTCCATACGTGCTCCTTCCATATGCCGCCCTCCCCCCTCACTCATCTCCTCGCTTCCCTCCTTCTCCTCGTTTTCCTCCTCCTCCTCTTCTGTATCTTCCTCCTCCTCTACTGTATCTTCCTCCTCCTCGGTATCTTCCTCCTCCATCATACTGCCGCCCACCCCACCTTCCAACAAGCTCATCTCACGCCTCTGTAATTGTGACTCTAACGGGAGGTCTCTCTGCAACGGAAAAGCGTTTCTCTCCAAAAAGGGCGCGCCGAATTCGCTCTGAACGGCAGCAAGTAGCGCCTCGTCTTCGTCGTCCTCCTCCCCCTCGTCGTCCTTCTCGTCGTTATTCTTCTCTTCCTCCTCCTCCCCCTCATCGTCCTTCTCGTCGTTATTCTCCTCTTCCTCCTCCTCCCCCTCATCCTGTCGGTCTTTCATTAGGTTACTGCCACGTGTTCTCCGGCCAAACATGATACTCTTGGATTTCAATACCCAGAAACGAAAACGATAAAAGGGGAAAGTTGATACAAACTATATTTCGGAAAAGGCGTTGTTTCGTAAGGAAAATGCGTCTTCAGACGTCTAGAAACCGTTGACTTGTTTCATGCGTCTTGAGACGTCTAACGTTATGCGAGACGGTGGCACATCAGTTACTCGTTCTAGCAGGCACAGGCACGATTAGTGCCTGACGTGAGGAGCTGAAATTGGGATGACTAAGCAAAGCGGTTTTGAGGAAAGATCTGGAGGTCGCAAAGAGGGTTGTGGGTTTGACGGGGTCGAAATGCCACGTGGCAAAGCAGGGTGCAAAAAAGATGCTTCCCAGCAGATGTGACTCAAACGAAGGTGAGACGGTGTGGGTCGAAAAACAGGAGCGAGCACTGAGAGATTCGAACTCTCGCGGGCAGAGCCCATGTACTTAGCAGGCACACGCCTTAACCACTCGGCCAAATGCTCATGCTCTCTTTGACAACAAAATTTATTAAAAAGAAAAATTGTCTCTTCATTCGTCACACTGACGTCTTCAGTTTCGTCATTTTCAACACAGGTAATCTCACACCATGCGACGAGCATCAGTGCAGCTCTCCTCCCTCAGCGGTGGACGCTGGAATAACAGATCAAGCGATGGTACTATTTCTATGAATGGCACGTCAGCAGCATTGAACCTAGGTGAACCGTCGCGCCCCTTAAAGCGGAATAATGGGCACTTTGTTGGCTCAGAATCAGTGAGCCGTGAGCAGCGTGACGGTTTATCGGAGGTTCCTATTCCGAAGCCTTCAATATTGTCGCGTTCCAGGAATGGCGACGGATACAGCGGTCGGTTCGCTAGCACGTCGCATTGTGACGTCACTAACAGTGAGGGTTTCGACTCGCCACTCGCATTGTTTCGAGAATGCTTCCTGGACGAATCGCAGTGCGACGAGCGACACAGCGTCGGTCGTTCTGCGATGTCGCACGGCTGTGCGAAACGAGCAGCAGGAGATATTTCGTGCTGCGATGCCCAGGACGACGAGAGGTCATCGAGGAGGGTGAAAATTGCTCAACGAAATAATGCTAACCCTGACTCTCATCCTGTCAGTTACAGTCGTAATGACATTAAGATATATGATTCTTATGACGGTATTACTGACACTGATGTTAATAATGGCGGTCATTGTCGTGACGCCACGCCTGCTCATATCGAATGTTCTGGGAGGTTCCAGGCGGGTGAACTGGCCAATCAAACGGAGCGTTCTGAAGGTGGTGATGCTTTGGGATTGGGAGATTCTTATGAAGACTACGACGAGATATCCGGGATGATGACTCAGCGTCAGGAGGACGCCACGTGGCACAATCAGCAATCAGATGACCTGGAAACTCAGGAGCAGAACGGTGCACTGGGGAATGGAGGCGGTGGACGAAGGGAGCAGGAATCTTCTGAAACGTCACACGACCTTTCCTACCACTTTCGGGGTAGAGAAGAAAGAACCAATGGTTCCTACCACGACCTTCCTAGAGAAGGAAGAGCCACAATGGTCGTCATTCGTTCAAGGGAGGGGCGAGGGTGTGGGGGTGGGAAGGGGGATGCTACAATGGAGGAGCGAGTGAGTGAATGGGGGAGGGAGAGTGGGGTCAGTGTACAAGAGCAGAGTGATGAATTTGTGAGTGTGAGCGTAGTGAGTGAAAGAGGTGTGAGTGGGAGGAGGCAAGATGAGGAAGAGGAGGCAGAAGAGGAGGAGAAGGAGCATGTGGAGGAGGTGTTGGGAGAAGAGGAGGGTGAGGATGAGGATGATGTGATTGAGGTTTCAGACTCAGATGGTGAGAGTGAGAAGGAGGAGAAGAGGCAAGGCGAGGAGGGAAAAGGGGAAGGTGGGGAGGAATGTGATGAGAAAGATGATGAGGAGTGCGAGGAGGAAGGGGACATGGTAGAGGAGGTGTATGGGAGCGTGGAAGAGGCTGACGCGGACTGTCCAATCTGCGGGTGCCACCTGTCCCACCTGAAGCCAATCAGACGCGAGCAGCACTCCAACGCATGCCTGGATGCCCGTGGAAGGGGCAAAGCGAAAGAGCAAACGGAGATGCGCAGAATTGGGGTTGATAGTGGCACAGGGGAGGAAGAGGAGGGAGAGGAAAGAGAGGAGGAAGAGGAGGGAGAGGAAAGAGAGGAGGGAGAGGAGGGAGAGGAGGGAGAGGATGAGAATTCTGCAATGGCTAGGATGCTATGGAGGAAAATAGAGGCGGGTGGCATGGGGATGACGATGGGGGCATGGAGGAGGAGAGAGACGGTGGAGGTGAGGGGGGAGGAGTGCGAGGAAGAGAAGGAGGAAAGGGAGGAGGAACAGGAGGGAAAGGACAAGGGAGAGGATGGAAGGGGTGAGAAGGAGACGGAAGAAGTGGAAAAAACGGAGAAAGAAAGAAGGCAAGTGGGTGGACAATCAGGTGGAAATTCAGGTGATCCGTCAGGTGTCGGCCAAGGTGCTGAGTCAGGTGGTATTTCAGGTGCTGCTGCTGCTCAGAAGCGGCTCATCACTGACTTCTTTGGAGGCAGCAACAGACACAGACCGCCCCAGCAGCAACAACAGCAAGCAGTTGGGGCTGGCACCCCGTTGGCTGCGAGTCCCAGTGGGCCTCAGCAAGGAGCAGGAAGGGGCGTGAGGTGGGGGGGAGGGTTTGCAGGGAGGGGTGGAAGTGGGAGAGGTGGAGGTGGAGTGAGTGGGAGAGGGGGAGGAGGAGGGATGTCGAAAGGAAGAGGTGGGGGCTGGAACGGGGGGAGGGGAAGAGGTGGGGTGTCGTTGCCAGAGGCGTGGGAGATAATTCCAGGCACCGACTTTCTGGTGGTGAGTTCTTGTAGGGTGCTGATATCAGATACTCATAGGGTACTGGTGGGATTGATCCCAGAGACTCATTACAGAAAGGGATGCTTCCCGTTTCCCCTTTCCCCCTTCCCTGCATCACTCTCAGGCGCACCTCTCCTGTCCCCCCTTTCCCTTTTCCCTCTTTTCCACCTTCCCCATTTTCCCATTTCCGCGTTTCCCCATTTCCCCATTTCCGCGTTTCCCCATTTCCCCATTTCCGCATTCCCTCTTTCCTCCCTCCCGCTCTTTTGCTGCGTCACACAGGACGCATTCAAGCTCACCTCGCCCTCCTGCCACCACTGGTTCCTCACTCACTTCCACGCTGACCGTACGTCTCCTCCCCTCTTTCCTCTTCCCCCTACCTTCCCCCTCAATTACCGGTTCTCCTTTCCTTCCCCTTCCCCCTTCCCCCTTCCTCCACCTCCTGCCACCACGGGTTCCTCACTCACTTCCTTGCTGATCGTAAGCCTTTTCAACTTCCTTGCTCCTTCTGATTCCAACTTCCCCCTCCCCCTTTTCCCCTTCCTCTTTTCCCCCTTCTTTTTTCCTCCTCCTTTTTCCTCCTGCCGTTTTTTCACGCGTTCACTCAATGTCTATCTGCTTGCATGGCCTTTTGTTTTTCACTGGTGATTTTTATCTACCTTGGTTGTCTGCTTCTTTTTTCCTATATTTCTTTCTTTTCCTTCTGCCCTCTTTTCGTTCCCCCCTGCCCCCAGACTACAACGGTCTGACCAAATCTTTCCGCTTTGGCACAGTCTACTGCTCCCCAGTCACTGCCCGGCTCGTGAGACTCCGCCTCGGGCTGCCCGAAGAGAAAATGTGTGAGCTGCCCATGGGCCAGCGGGTGGAGATTGCTGGTGTGGGCGTGACACTGATCGACGCAAATCACTGCCCGGGGGCAGTTATGATTTTATTCGAGCCTCCTAACGGGCAGGTGAGTGTGTTGAAGTGATGGGTAAGCAGGCTCCTAACGGGCTGGTAATCGAGTCAATTGAATTGAATTATTATAAGCAGCCATGCTGGATTGCATGCCCACCAGTCTTCCTCTCTCCCCCCACTCCCCCTCACCGCATGCGAGGCAGTGCTCCACACGGGCGACTTCAGGTGGCATTCCTCCATGGTCACCCCCACCCTGCCCTTGCTTGCTTGCAGCTGCCTACCATCCCCCCTTTCCTCCCTTTCCTCCCACTCCTTCCTCGCTTCCCCTCCCTCATCCCATCCCAGGAAGTGCTACACACAGGCGACTTCCGATGGCATCCCTCCATGGCTGCCCTGCCCTGCCTCGCTTGCTGCCACACGCCCCACCATTCCTCCTACCTTCCCTCACTTCCCTCTCTCTGCTCTCTCCCCTTCGTTCTCTCCCCCTCCCCACACCCCAGCCAGTGCTCCATACGGGCGACTTCAGATGGCATCCTTCCATGGCTACTCTGCCGTGCCTCTCTGCCACGCGCATTCACACACTCATCCTCGAGACCACCTACTGCCACCCCAAGGTGATGAAAAATAGCTCAGTGTGTGTGTGTGCGCAGCATGCATCTCAGGGGGACTGTGCAACCTGTTCCCTTCCCCTCTCTTCCCTTTGCTCTCTACCCTTCCCTGCCCCGCTGCCACGCGCATTCACACGCTCATCCTCGCACACCACCTACTGCCACCCCAAGGAGATTCAGCATTCAGCTTGCGGCAGTGTGTGTGTGTGTGTGTGTGTGTGTGTGTGTGTGTGTGTGTGTGTGTGTGTGTGTGTGTGTGTGTGTGTGTGTGTGCATGCAATGCAACAGTAACCTCTTCTCTCCCCTCTGTTCTCTCCCCTCTGTTTCATCTCCTCTGTTCTCTGCATCGCTGCTCCTTTCCTCATCCCATGCCAGTACGACTTCCCTCCTTTTGAGAATTCTCAAAAGTGATCCCATGCCAGTACGAGTTCCCTCCTCAACAAGTGGCGCTGCAGTTTGTGGTGGAGGCCATTCAAGCAGAGGCGAGTGGATCGGATGCCTTGATTCAATATCCATCACACTCTACCCCCCTCTCCACTCCACTTCACTCCTGTAAACCCATGCCAGTACGAGTTCCCTCCTCAGGAAGCGGCGCTGCAGTTTGTCGTGGAGGCCATTCAAGCAGAGGCCTTCAACACCAACGCGCTCTTTCTCATCGGCACATATACCATCGGTCAGTTTGCTGCTGCTTTTCCTGCTGCTGTTGCTGCTGCTGTTGCGGCTTTGATCTGCATGCTCTGTAAGCTCTTTGAGGCCATTCAAGCAGAGGCCTTCAACACCAACGCACTCTTCCTCATCGGGACATACCATCGGTGCATCCCCCCTCGCTACTGCTATGAACCATGCGCTCTGTGTACTCTTTGAGTTGCTTGGTTTGGAGCGCCCCAGCAGATGTTCAACAGCAGTTCGGCTTAACAGATATTCACATCACAATATATTTACTATAGCCCTAATAGTTACCACTCCTCAACCCTGTAACGACTTGCTGTGTACTGGCCGTATATGCACCCCACCCCAACCCACATACCAGGCAGGGAGAAGCTGTTTGTGGAAGTCCAGTTTTGAGGAAGGTGTTTGTGGAAGCGGCAGGGTGAAGGTCTGCTGGCAGGCATGGCTTGACCCCTCAAATGATGTGATGATATAGGCGTACATGCACCTCCCATCACACGTACATGATGTGATGATATAGACGTACATGCACCTCCCATCACACGTACATGATGTGATGATATAGGCGTACATGCACCTCCCATCACACGTACATGATGTGATGATATAGGCGTACATGCACCTCCCATCACACGTACATGATGTGATGATATAGACGTACAGGCTAGGAAGGAGACGGGATGTCTACTGGCACCTTTTTGTCCGTCACACAATGTGTTAGCATGCGCGTATATGCATGCACCCCACCCCACATCCCAGGCAGGGGGAAGGTGTTTGTGGGAGGAACTAAGGCGCTCAGACGCAAGGTATATGTGTTGGTGGTGAAAAGACGCCTGATTTTTTAGAATTCTAAGGCGCCCAGACATGAGGTCTATGTGTTGGTGGTGAAGAGACGCCTGATGGCGTGCCTTCGTCTCTCACATGATGGCATGAGCGTACATGCATGCACCCCCCATCCCACTCCACATCCCAGGCAAGGAGAAGGTGTTTCTGGAAGCAGCTAAAGCTCTAAAGCGGAAAGTGTATGTGGGGGCGGTGAAGCGACGCCTGCTGGGATGCCTTGGTCTAACAGATGATGTGATGACATGGCCGTATATGCATGCACCCTACCCCACATCCCAGGCAAGGAAAAGGTGTTCCTAGAAGCAGCTAAAGCTCTAAAGCGGAAAGTGTATGTGGGGGCGGTGACGCGACGCCTGCTGGGATGCCTTGGTCTAACAGATGATGTGATGACATGGCCGTATATGCATGCACCCTACCCCACATCCCAGGCAAGGAAAAGGTGTTCCTAGAAGCAGCCAAGGCTCTAAAGCTGAAAGTGTATGTGGGGGCGGTGAAGCGACGCCTGCTGGGATGCCTTGGTCTAACAGATGATGTGATGACATGGCTGTATATGCATGCACCCTACCCCACATCCCAGGCAAGGAAAAGGTGTTTTTAGAAGCAGCTAAAGCTCTAAAGCGGAAAGCGTATGTGGGGGCGGTGACGCGATGCCTGCTGGCATGCCTGGGGCTCTCACATGATGACATGGCCATACATGCATAAACTCTCTTCCCCATCCCCAGGCAAGGAGAAGGTGTTCCTAGAAGCAGCTAAGGCGCTTAAGAAGAAGGTCTATGTGGGGGCGGTGAAGCGACGCCTGCTGGCATGCCTGGGGCTCTCTCATGATGTCATGGCGTGGGTGGCTGGGGATGGCGAGGAAGCTTCCACGAACCTGCATGCAGTGCCGCTTTGGTCCATCTCCAGCTTCAAGAGGATTGAGCACATTGCCAAGTTCCACAGGGTAAGTTCGAAATGATACACCCTTTCCATAGGGTAAGTTATCGTTTGAAGAAAATGGTGCTGTTGAAGCGCTGTAGATTACATCTGTTTGATCTCACCAGGATCACTTGAATCTTATTTTCTTTTTCTTTTTCTTTTTCTTTATTTCTCTGCCCAGCAACGCTATTCCACCATAATTGCATTTTCACCATCCGGCTGGGCGTTTGACAAGTGCAAGAAGGCTCGGCCCATCAGGCGAACACAGCGAGGCACCATCGTGAGGTAAGATTTAATTGACTTTTGCTGATTGCCATCATCGATGGGTAAGATTATGTAGGACTGATAAGTGGTGCTTTTCATTTTTATTGGGTATGCCACACAGTCACGATTCTGTAAGCATCTGTTGTGTACACCCTTTCTCTTTGGGCAGGTATGAAGTACCCTATAGTGAGCACAGCAGTTTCTACGAGCTTCAGGAGTGTGTGAAGGCCGTTAACCCGGAAGTAATCATTCCATCTGTGCACAATCGCGGGCATGGAGCAGCACAAGCCATGGTGACATTACTAGGTGAAGGAGCAGTGTAGTTGGAGTGTGGGAAGAAGGTTGCTAACTCAAAAACCATCATTCCATCTGTGCACAATCATGGGCATGGAGCGGCACAAGCCGTGGTGACATTACTGGATGGAGCTGTCTAGTTAGAGGAGTGTGTGAAAGCTGTTAACCCGGTAGTCATTATTCCTTCTGTGCACAATCGCGGGCATGGAGCAGCACAAGCTATGGTGGTGACACTGTGAAAACTATGAGGCAAGGATGGTTGGATTGAAAGAAGCAAGGGTACAAATAGGAAACCCTAGTTGGGGTTGTACCCCATATTGGCTACCCCACTACAGCCTACAAACATATAGCACATTTATACTTTGACACACCCCCATAGGCAAAGTGGGGGAGAGCAAGGGGTCACAAGACCAGTCAAGCAAAGCAAAGAACAAGCTCAGGGTGGATCACAATGTCACCACACTCTCTGAGCACAAGCAAAGGCCACAAGACCAGTTCACATGCAGATTTATATAGAAGAACACAAGTAGTACAGTGATCAAAGCCTAGCAAGTGCAAGCATGCAAGGACATATATATAGATCACAGTACAAACAAAGTCAAGAAGTAAGCAAGTGAGAGAACGTGGACACAAGGCCTAACGCAGTGCAGTGCCGCTGATGATCACTAGGCGGAAGCGCCTTGGTGAATATATCAGCAGTGTTGGCCTTCGAGTCCACGTACGCAAGGCGAAGCTGGCCACGCTGCTGCAGCTCTCGAGCCAGAAAGTAACGGAGAGCAATGTGCTTCGTTCTGTGCTCCAGTCTGTGCTCATGACACAAGGCAAGAGCTGCCTTGTTGTCGCCGTACAGAACTGGAGGAGAACGAGGCCACTCACCCAAGTCAGTCAGCAGGTAGGTGAGCCAGCGTAGCTCCTGCGCAGCCATGGCCGTGGCGTAGATCTCAGCCTCACAACTGGAGCTGAGAACAGAAGAAGAGCGAGTGGAACGCCAAGAGACAGAACCAGAGCCAAGGCTGAAAGTGTAACCCTGTGACGACCGCTGCGTAGCCAGGTCGTCAACCCAAGAGGCGTCTGAGTGTCCAGTGAGGACAACCGAGCCCTGTCCTCCAAGCACCAGCCCCATGCCTGATGTACTGCACAAGTAGCGCAGCACCCTCTTAGCAGCCTCCCAGTGCTCTCGCCTGTGTCTCCCAGGTGCGACGTAGCGAGCTAGGATGCTAAGAGGGTACGCAAGGTCAGGTCGAGTGCAGGTCATCAGGTATATGAGGCAGCCCACAAGCTCTGGGTACGGGCCACTCGGCTCTACGGACTCGTCCGAAGGTGGAGCTGAGAGCGAGTGGCTGGTAGACAGAGGAGTGGACTGAGGTGAGGAGAACTGGAAGCCGAAGCGCTGAAGGACCTGCTGCACCATGTGTGACTGAGTCAAGGTGATGGTGCGGCGTGCTCTGTCCCGGGTGATCTGCAAGCCAAGGTAACTGCGCAGCTCACCCAGGTCTGTGCACGTGTGTCTCTTCTGCAGCTCCGACTTCACAAGAGCAAGTGCCTCAGTGTCAGCAGTAGCAAAGACCAAGTCGTTGACGTACACGAGGATGTAGAACGGCGGCAGCGACGTGTCTGTGCGCAGGAACAGTGAAGGGTCTGCAGTGGAGGGAGCAAACCCAAGAGCCGCAAGTGTCGTCCTCAGTGTCTCGTGCCACTCACGTGGCGCCTGGCGGAGACCGTAAACTGGCCGTCGGAGGCTCCACTGGGTACCAGGAGGGAAAGACCCAGTGAAGCCAGGAGGACGGCGCAGCCAGATCTCCTCGTGCAGGCTGCCCTGCAAGAAAGCCGTGCTGAAGTCAAGAGAGTGAAGCTCGTAGTCACGCTGGGCGGCAACGTGCAGCAGCACCCGAAGAGTGGTCATCTCCCTGTCGCTGACTGAAACCTCTAGCAACGTAACGAGCCTTGAAGACAGGCGGAGAACCCGGCGGCCGCTTCACCCTGAAAATCCACATGTCATCGACGATGTTCGTCCCAGGAGGGGGAACCTCGTCGACGTAGGTGCCTGTGGACTTCCAGGATGCCATCTCTGCGTCCATGGCTGTCTGCCACTGAGAGGAGTAGGGACCCGAGACCGCCTCTGTGTAAGAGCGGGGGGTAGGGATGTCAAGTGCATCCGGGTCTCCCTCAGGGGCAAGCAGCCAGGCCGTGAGATGAGGTACAGCAGCCGCAAGACAGTCAAGGTCCTCCTGCCTGTCCTCAAGGACGTCCGTGCTAAGAGCACACTCACCCCCGACGGACGGAGGACAGACAGACTCAGACTCAGTAACAAGACTGGCAGTGTAGTCGAGACGACAGGTAGCAGCAAAGTCAACCAGCTCAGCGACCAAGGCAGACGCAGACGCAGACTCAAAGGACGGGTCAGTGACAACAGTGGCTAACAGACGCGTGACAGTAGGGTGCTCAGCACGAAACCGGTCAGACTCAAGGTCCGGAACGTCAGGCAGAGAGGACGTAGGGGGAGACGGCAGAGGAACACGCTGCTGAGTGGGAGAAGGACGTCTGACAACCAGGGGCGTGCTGCGAACAGGCGGCTGTCGCAGACTAGAGACACGACGACCGGAACGACCAGGACGGACAGGCGAGACAGGACGTGACGCAGGCTCACGACGCTCAGTAAGACCTCCAGGCTGCTCAGAGTAAGGAGAAGGAGCAGGCAGTGGTGAGCCAGGCTGTAAGGGAAGACCAGTAGACGACGGGAGACTAAGAACCTGGCGAAGTGCCGAGTCAGACGGTGGCTGAGAAGACGGAGACGGCGGAGCAAAGAACAGACGCCGCGGCGCCGTGTCACCAGCAGCAGTAGTACCAGGACCTCCAGCAGCTCCAGCCCCCTCAGCAACAGCGCCACCAGGACCAGGTCCACTGACAGCAGCACCAGCACCCCCAGTAGCTCCAGGACCCCCAGCAGCTCCAGAACCACCAGCTCCAGCACCTCCAGGACCAACTCCACTAGTAGTGGCACCCCCAGAACCGGCACCCCCAGTCCCAGGGTCTCCAGCACCAGAACTCTCATGCAAAGCTCCTCCAGCCCCGGCAGCTCCAGTCCCTCCAGTACGAGCACCTCCGGGACCAGGGGAAGGAACTCCAACACCTCCAGAAGCAGAGCCTCGAGCTCCAGCAGCGCGACCCTGACGGCGCCCGAACCAGTCGTGCAGCTGCTGTGAGGTGAGAGGTACACGCGGACGAAGGCGGTCGCTCCACGGGGACCGCGTCCCACCAGGCACAGTACCCTCAGTCGGCTCACCTCCAGGCCCAGCTCCCCCAGTCTCCACACACACAGGCACGTCACCCCCAGACACAGCACCCTCAGGCGTAGTACCACCAGGCTCCTGACTCGCAGGCTCAGCACCTCCAGGCACCTCACGCTCACGCTCCGCACCCCCTGGCTCAGCACCTCCAGGCACCTCACGCTCACGCTCCGCACCCCCAGGCTCAGCACCTCCAGGCTCCGCACCCCCAGGCTCCGCACCCCTAGGCTCCGCACCCCGAGGACCAGCACCCCCAGAGCCAACGACACCTCCAGCAGGACCAGAGTCACCAGTGACCTCAACAGGCGCAGGTACGGGAGGGTCTACCTGAGAAACACCTGAAGGGGCAGGACCTGGCGCGGGAAGGGGGTCTACCTGGGGAGGACCTGGAGCGAGGAAGAGCGGCGGGGGGGCGCGAGGGGAGGTACGGTAGGGAAAGAGACGGTAGAAGGGAACCGACTCGTCAAAGGTGACATCCTGAGACGCAAAGACACGGCGCGAGGTGGGGTCGTAGAACTGCCAGCCAGGCGCGTCAGGAGGAAAACCAAGGAAGACACAGGGAATGGCGTGGGCAGAGAGTTTGTCCGCGGTGGTATCGCGGACAAAGGCACGAGCACCCCAGACCCGAAAGCGCGACGCATCGCCAACCTCCCCCGTCCACAACAGTGTGGGCGAGGTCTCTGGCAAGGAGACACGGGGCCAGAGGTTGAGCTGATGCGCGGCGTACCGGACCGCAAACGGCCAAAGAAAATGGGGGGCAGCCGCATGGATCATGGAGGTACGAGCGACCTCCATGACTAAGCCGATGCGGCGCTCAGCAACCCCATTCTGCTGCGGAGAGGCCGGAAGCGTGAACGTCTGGCGGATGCCGTGCTCCGCACAGAAGGCTCGCAAGAGGTCAGAGGAGAACTCACCACCTCTGTCAGAGTGCAGACGCAGGACAGGAAAGTCCGTCTGGAACCGCTCGCGAAGCTGGAGACGAGCAGCGCGGATCCAGGGGATCAAAACATCAGGGACCTGCCCCTTGCTGCGCAAGGGGAAGACCGTGGTGTAGCGCGAGTAGTCGTCGACGACCAGCAGGAAGTAGCGCTCGCGGCCCTGACCCTGGACGCGGGCTGGGCCCCACACGTCCAGGTGGAGAGTCTGCAGCGGAGCCTCTGTGGGAGGGAACGAGGAGGAGTGAGGAGCGGCGCGCTGCCGCCCCTCGATGCAAGGAATGCAGGGCGGCGCAGGCGAGGGAGGGAGTGCAGGCAGGGACCTGGGAAGACCAGAGACCAGACAGCGAGAGTGCATGCCACGCAGGCGAGGCAGGGAGGGGTGACCAAGGCGGTGGTGCCACAGGAGAGTGTCGTGGGACAGGCGGCGGCACTCACACTGGGTGGCTACCTGAGCAGACGCGTACAGCTGTGGAGACAAAGGAGTGTAGCGTGAAACAGTGGTGAGAGTGTAAAGACTGGACCCCGGCTCACGGGTGAACGTGGCCAGGTGGCGGCCAGTCTTGGAGCAGGTACAGATCGCCACACGCTGTCCTCCAGGAGTCCAGGTGTCAACCCAGTGATCCTGAAGGACGGCGTTGCTCACCAAGTTCGTAGAGAACGAGGGAACATGGAGACCTGACAGCTCACCACCGCCGGGCACGGAAGCACAGTCGTGGCACGTGCAAGCACTGGGCCCCCAGAGGGGTCAGCCAGCGAGACAGGAACAGGTGCAGGGAGGGGGGTGACTGCGGTGCTGTCGCGAAAGAAACAGCGAGTCAAGACGTGTGCAAGTGTAAAGACGTGTGCACCAGAGTCAAGTGTAAACGTGTGCAAAGCCTGCGCGGACGCATTACCAGAGGAGTCAGACGCACGAGCACCTAGGGCTGCAGTCTCTATACCTGGGTCAGGCGGAACGCACAAGTAGCAGTCACCCTCAGCACTAACAGTCAATGCATACATGGTAGCAAGGATTGCATCATAGTCAAGATCATAGACATTGACATCACGCCTAAGCAGATCAGCCCAGTTGGGGAACTCAGTGGCATCAGGGAACTTGGCGCGCCAGGCGTCGCTGAGGCGCGCAAAGCAACGGGACTCAGGGTGAGAGCCGTTGCACGTGCGGCCCTTGCGAGGGCCAGTGAGAATGACATAGGGGCAGCGACCAGAACCCCCAGACGCCCCACGCCCAGCATACCAGTCATGAAGCTGCTGAGAGGAGGGGGTCTGGCGCTGCTGCAGCTGCTGCGGCTGCTGCTGCTGCTGGCCGGTCCCACTCCCGCCCCCACTACCACCGCCTCCTCCCCCCTTGCCGCCGCTGCCACCTCCACCACCCCCACGACCACCTCCACCTCCCCCACCACCCCCACCGCCCCCACCACCGCTCCCCCCACTCCCACCCCCGCCACCCCGGCCCCCCTTGCCGCCCCGGCCCCCGCCGCGCTTCCCACTAGGAGCGGAAGCAGCTGCGACCTTCTCAGCACCAGGAAGGTCAACGGGAGTAGCAACTGAGGCGTACGAGGTGGTGAGGGGGGAGGGGGAGCACCCCTCAAAGAGGGAGAGAAGCTGCCGCTCGAAGTTGTCTAGGGTGATCTCGGGGGCGTCCATGGCGAGGAAGTGGTCCCTGACTGTGTTAAAGGAGTCAGGGAGGCGGGTGACGAGGAGGTAGAGGGTAAAGTAGAGCGGAGGGGGGTTCTTGGCACGGAACTCGTCAGTAAGAGCGGCGTTAAAGCAGGCCTCACTATCGCGAAGGTGAGTAATAAAGTCCGCAGCAGTGGGGAAGGAGGACAGGTCAGGGAACAGGTAGGGCAGGATGAGGCCTCCTACAGCGGCAGTGGCTGGGGAGGAGTAGCGTGCAACTACTGCGTCATAAAGTGCCTTGGCAGTTTTGTGCTGACTGAAATGCGCGCGCTCAGCGATCGGCAGATGGTTGCGGATAGCAAGGCGCGCAGCAGCATCGCGAGTCTGCCACTGTGAGCGGTCAAGAGCAGGAGCACTGTCAGCAGGAGCAGCGGCAGTGCCAGTAACGTAGTCGAAAAGCGAGACACCAGCTTTGGCATCAGTCAGAAGGAAAAGCTGCAGATCGTCAAGCCAAGTGGGAAATGCGATCGGGCGACCGTCAGGTTCGAAAGCTAGCACATTCATGGTCGCCATGGCAGCAGCGCAAGGCAGGCAGGCGTAAAGCAGGATGCAGGGGCAGGCAGGGGGCCGGGCGCGGGCTTAGGGGCAGCGCGACGGTAGGCAGGGGGCCGGGCGCGGGCGTAGGGGCAACGCGACGGGCAGGCAGGGGCCGGGCGCGGGCTTAGGGGCAGCGCGACGGTAGGCAGGGGGCCGGGCGCGGGCGTAGGGGCAACGCGACGGGCAGGCAGGGGCCGGGCGCGGGCTTAGGGGCAGCGCGACGGTAGGCAGGGGGCCGGGCGCGGGCGTAGGGGCAGCGCGACAGGCAGGCAGGGGCCGGGCGCGGGCCTAGGGGCAGCGCGACGGTAGGCAGGGGGCCGGGCGCGGGCGTAGGGGCAGCGCGACGGGCAGGTAGGGGCCGGGCGCGGGCTTAGGGGCTACACGACGGGCAGGGAAGGGGCCGGGCGCGGGATTAGGGGCAGCGCGACGGGCAGGCTAGGCAGGGCGCATATGGGGCAGCGCGGTAACCATGTGAAACCATGTGAAAACTGCTCTGAAACCATGTGAAAACTATGAGGCAAGGATGGTTGGATTGAAAGAAGCAAGGGTACAAATAGGAAACCCTAGTTGGGGTTGTACCCCATATTGGCTACCCCACTACAGCCTACAAACATATAGCACATTTATACTTTGACAGACACTACTGTTAACCCAATTTGGCTAAATTCGTAGTTGCTGTCTCTTCAGTCCATAGCACATCTTAGGTGAAACAACAGTTGTTTTCACATTCTGAGGTGTCTCCTCAACAACTGTCAAGAGCTAATAATACCGTATGTATTCGTGCACTCGCGTTAATGTTGTTTCGTGGGGAGCGATAATTTGTGCGAGCTACGTAATGAATATCATGTGTGATGGGTCTACGTAATTTGGCACATGATCACCTAAATAACGGCCGAGGGACATGGTTACATGGTGTTGCGATGGTCTTGGCTTTCATCCAATGCATTTAACAGAATCCTTTAGCTTTTTTTTGTTAGGTGTTCCAGGTGTTGCTCATTTAGGACAAATCAAGTAGTTCCTCCTGTCGGTTCCCGCTGTTTCCCGCCAGAACTGTGCTGTCAGAGTTCTTCAAAGCGTTTCTGCCATTCTCCGGACTGGGCATTCCCGCGGGGTTTCAAAACTTATTCAGGGATGGCGGCTCGTCATGAACCGTCAGATGTGCAGAGCTCGACATTTTCAGTGCACATCGGCACCATACGTTCAACAAACTCTAGACCAGAACAACCCACAAGCTGGAAATTGAGCCTCATCAGCCTGCAAGGATACCAGTCTCTAAGTTCAGGCTGGAGTTTTCCATCGGCCTAGAGAAAACATTCAGGCTGGACTGAAGAATTCAGGGATCAGGATTCTGCATTCAGGTATAGTCGTCTACGTTCCAGACTAAACTTTACTGTTGTGATTTCTAGTTTCATCGTCGCCTAGACTCTCCTGTCCCTAGTTTCGTACGGATTATTCAAGGTTTTCATCAATTAGTACCAGGAACGACGTATCGGAGCAGCCATTGCCTGAGTCGGATTCGTCGACCCGTTTGACTGCGAAGCTACTTTGAGCATGCAGATACAGGATAGGCCTTAGAAGTGCCTGCTTGATATCCGGACGGTCCTGTTCCTGAAATAGAACTTCGCCAAGATGTCGGGATGGATGTTCGGCGGCGGGTCGGCTTCGAAGACCCCGGAGCCGAAGCGAGAAAGGCATCCGGATCAGATTATTCAGTTACTTGAAGCTGATAATAAAGCAAAAGAAGATAAAATCCTGAACCTGGAGCAGATTTGCAACCAGAAATCCAAGGTCAGTTTTTCAAGAGTCTCCACCATACGTGCGTATTAGTCGCGTCTTGAGCTCTTTCATGAAGTGTCATTCTTAATGCTTAACTTGTTACCGTTCGCGCTTTTTCCTTGCTGCACTTCTTTCAGGAAATCGATGTTCTCAAGGCAGATCAAGATGCTGTCCGCAAGGTAAGTATATACGTCACGTCTCAGCAAAATCGTCGATGTGTCTCCAGTGAGCACCTTTTACATTTGCGATCTCTTCCGTCTGCGTGATTTTTTCCTTCAGGAAATGAGTAACATTGTCGACACAATAAAGGCCATGAAGGACGAGTCTTCACAGCGATCGCAGGTACCAGTTTCCCGTCCGCAAATCCATTTTGCTGCCTTCTTCATCAAAGATTAGATTGTCTAATTTGTAGTACATCGCAAAATTATTGCTCGTTGACTATCGCAGGAGCTTCAGGTGTCAGAGCGGGAGAAGATGAACCTGATGACGCAGCTCCAGCGTCGCGATACGGAGGTGAAGGGCCTACAGGACGAGCTTAAGGAGACGCAACGGCTGTTGAAAGTGGCAAGCGAGGACGCCAACGCAGCGTTGGCTGTAGCGGAACAGGTACTGAAATCATGGTAACGCGTACAATGATTTCTCAAAGTCTGGATGTATTCGATCAGTCGTTTTCGTAGCACTGACCTGCACTTGCTCTTTGCTCGCTTGCACTGCTCTGGATTGGATAATGTGAGTTTAGGAGTCGGACAGTGAGGTTGAGACATCACAGAGATCTGAATTTCTCATCTGCTTCGGTTTGGCTGTCGCGTGAGCAGGAAAAGGAGGGCGAGCACTCTCGTTACATTCAGGAGCTGAAGAGGCACGTGGACAAGCAGCGAGAAGCGGCGACGGTCCGATGCCAGTTGGAAGACCGGTACGTACTTCAATCTCAGGCATCTTGCTCCGAATTTCAGGCATCTTGCTCCGATGCTCAGGCATCTTGCTATCTACGTTTTTGTTTCTCATAACGACGCAGTCGAGAAGAGCGAGGAACGCTGCTCTCGTGATTTTGAAGCGATTTCAAAATGCTTTGGTGGCTCACGTGTTGTTGATTAACTGTGCTTTTTGTTTTCTGCGTCTTTGGAACTTTCAGGATTGAAGCTCTGAAGTCGCAGCTGGAGGATCTGAAAGTGCAGGACGCAGCGAAGGATAGAGCAAACAAGGAATTATCCAAGAAGCTGAAGGATGCACACATTGGTGAGTCCATAATACCCTCGCTCCAGGATACCTGTCCCTCGGGGTCTACCATTCCTCGTTCCAAACCGCTTTCTGTCATTCCGTAATGCCGGACATTTTTTTGCCGGCAGGCGACATGATCTGTTCGCCTTGTTCGGAGCTTCAACCGACGTCGAGGCCAGCAGACTCGACGCTTTCGCACGTTCATTTCCCTTTCGCCGTGCTAATGCGTGTCTTGTGTTGGGCCTGGTCGTGGGTGGGGCCGGCAGAGATCGAGCGGCTGCAGCGCGCGGAGAAGGAGGCGAGGGTGGCACGGGGCGTGCCGGTGGAGCTGGAGGAGGCGAAGAGAGCTTTGGAGGAAGCGGAGTTCAAGAATCGCGACTTCGCCAATTTCCTCAAAACTGCTGAGGCTAACGCTGCTCGTTTCAAGGAGCAGGTGGGTTGCGGAAGGCTGGCTTTGGTTGGGTTGTTGTGCGTTGGTGATATCTAGCGGCGTAAGGAAGCTTGCATTTTCGCGGCCTTTTGCGATAAAGCATTCTGCTTCTTCTCTCCATTGTACGCCTTTCGGTTGCCGCTACTAGTTTCCTTGTTCTACGTTATTCGCGTTTCCGTTTGCGCTACAGCATTCTCTTACCCCTCTTGCTCCGTATTGTGGTGTCGCAGGCGACTCATCTGACCGTGAAACTCCAAGAAGAGCGTCGGGAGCGGGAGAAGCTGGAGGCGCAAATGGAACAGCTGGCGGCCGGATCCGGCAGCTCGGAGCAACTGACGGCAGCAGCGCGTAAAGAGAACGACGAGCTTAAAGCCAGGATTTCTCTGGCGGAGCAGCGTATGGCGGACGCTGAGCGGCTGGAGAAGGAGTTCAAGGCGATGACGGGGGAGCGCGCGGACCTGGAGCTGCAGGCGGAGATGGCGCGCATGGAGAAGGAGAGCGCGGAGAAGCGCGCGGCCGAGGCGGAAGGGAAGGTGAAAGCGGCAGAGGATGAGGGGAGACGCGCAGTGTGTGTGCTGGAGGAGAAGATGAAAGGGATGCAGCGAGAGAAGGAGCAGCTGCAGGAGGAGCTGCAGGCGGCGGTAAAAGGGAGAGACGCGGAGAAGGGGGAGTTGGCGGAGAGGATTGCGCGCCTGGAGGCGAAACTTGCGGAGATGAAGCGCGAGGCGGGAAGACTGCAGGAGGCTGCGAAGGAGGCGGCGAGGCCGAAGGCGGTGGAGATGGAGGGGCTGCAGGGGGAGCTGGATGCGGCTGCTGCTGCGCTGGCGGAGGTGAAGCTGAAGTGCGGGGAGGCGGAAGAGGCTGTGCGCGCGGAAAAGGAGCGAAGGCATGCGGAGGTGGCGGCTGCGGTTGGTTCCGCGGAGAGGAGATGCGCGGAGTTCGAGGAGAGGGTGGGAGAACTGCTGAAGGCTGTTGAGACGTTGGAGAGAGAGAAGGCGGAGCTGATCGGGAAGGTGGAGCTTGGTGAGGAGGAGTGCAGACGGGTGTTAAAGCAGGGCCATGAGGCCGAGTTGAAGGTGGGACGGCTTGAGAAGGAGTTGAGGGGGGTGGAGGCGGAAAGGGAGAAGATGGGGAGCGAGCTGGGTGTTGTGCGCGCGGCTCTAGAGGATGCGGAGCGGCGCATGGAGGCGCAGGCGGAGGAGGCGCGCGCGCAGCTGCGCCAGTCGTACGAGGCGACCAAGGAGGAGGCGCGGAAGACGGGCGCGGAGATCGAGGTGCTGCGGCGGGAGGTGGAGTCGCGCGCGAGCGAGGTGGCGGAGTTGGTGCGGAGGACGGAAGCGGCGGAGGCTGCGGCGGCCAAGGAGGCGGAACGGCGGTTGGCGGAGAGTGCGCGCGCGAAGCTGGAGGGCAGATGCCGGGAGGCGGAAGAGCGCGTGGTGCAGCTGCAAGGGGTTGTAGCTGGGGAGGAGGGCGAGATTGCGGGACTTCTGGAGCGAGCGACGGCAGCTGAAGCGGCCGGAAAGAAGGCAGAGAGCGGGCTTTGGGCGATGGAGGCGGCAAAGGAGAAGGCGGAGACTGAGCTCGAGCGAGTGACGGCGGAATGCGAGAGACTGGCGCAAGAGATGGGGATCCTGCGCGAGGTGGTGGAGGATGTTGAAGGGCGCGTGGAGCGCGAGGCGAGGGAGGCCGCTGGGCTTCTGGCGAAGCTGAGTATTGCGGAGAAGGAGGTCGACGGGCTGACGAGGGAAGTCGAGGAGGAGAGGGCGAGGGCGGAGAATGCTGTGAGGGAGAAGGCGGAGGCGTGCGCGGAGGTGGAGGAGGGGAGGGGGAAGATTGCTGCGCTGGAGCGTGTGGTGGAGGAGGTGCGAGAGGCGCTTGCTTTTGCGACGGCGGATGCGGAGACGGAGAGGGCAGGAAAGGACGAGGCGGAGGCGGAGGTTGGGCGCATCCAGCGGGAGATGGCGCGGGAGAGGGAGGAGATGGAGGGGAAGGTGGCGGAGCTACAGGCGCAGGTGGATAAGCTGGCTGGTGACGTGGATGCGGCGGGAGATGAGCGGCAGGCGATGCAGGCGAGGATTGACGAGCTGCTGCGCGACGTTTCGCAGCTGTCGCACGACAAGGCTCGCATGGAGGCGGAGCTGAGCGAGGTTCACGCGGCAGTTGCTGAGAAGGATGCGGCTGTGGCTCGCGCGGAGGAGCGGCTGGCGGAGATTGCGCAGGAGGCGGAAGGACTGCAGGGGCAGTTGCGGAACGCGGAGGCGGACGCGGAGAAGGCGGGGAGGACGGCAGAGGAGGAGAAGACGGGGCGGAAGGAGGCGGAAGCGAAGCTGGCTGAGTTGGAGGAGAGGGAGCAGCGGTTGGTGGGGAAATACGAGGAGGAGATCGAAGTGCTTCAAGAGAGGGTCGCGGAGTTGAAGCGGGAGCTGTCAGTGGAGCAGCAGCGCCGGCACGAAGAGGCGGAGCAACTGGCGGAACAGCTGGAGGAAGCGCGGGCGGCGCTGGAAGGCGCGCGCGCGGAGGAGAAGCGCGCGAGGGAGGAGGCGGACCGGCTGAGCGGGGAGCTGGCAGCTGCGGCGCTCGCGGCTGGTGCTGCGCAGCGGGAGGTTCAGGCGGAGAAGTCTGCGCGCGAGCTGGTGGAAGAGAAGGTTGCAGAGATGGAAAAGGAGAGAGATGTGATGATACGAGATCACGAGGATTTGGTGGTGGCCCTGAGGCGGGAGATAGAGAGCGAGCGTGAGGAGACGGCGAGGGAGAAGGCGTGGAGGCGGAGCGAGGTGGAGGAGGTGAAGGGGGAGATGGGGTCGGTGATGGCGGGGCTTGAAGGTAAAGTGGCGGAGATGGAAGCGCGGGAGGGGAGGATGGAGGAGGAGGCACGGAAGAAACAGTCAGAGGTGGAGGCGTTGGAAAAGCGGGTGAAGGAGATGGAATGGGAGATGTGGAGGCGGAACGAGGAGCAGCGGCAGGGGCTGATGGCGGCGGTACAGAGAGGAGTGGAGAGTGGGCGCGTGGGGGATGCACTGGTGGAGGAGGTGAGGGAGCTGCTGGTGAGGCTGGAGCAGGAGGGGGTGCGCGCGCAGCAGGTGGCGCAGATGCAGGAGCGGATGAAGGAGCTGGAGGCCAGGCTGGCAGACGCAGATGAGCAGGTGAGGCTCTCTTCCTCTCTTTCTCCTAACCCGTTATCCACGGTTTTCCTTGTTCTGAGGACTGTTTGGATTTTCCTTCTGCTTTTTGCAGTTCTGATTCATGACTTTTGTCTGTGTTTCTGTGTGACTCTGACTGTGCATGTGCAGCTTGCTGAGCTGGCGGACAAGGAGGAACAGCTGTCGGCGTCTGAGTGGACCATTGAGCGCATGGGCGAGGAGCTGAAGCGCGCCAAGGAGGTGAGCCCACGCTTCTAAGTTGTCTCAAGAGAAGGGATGTGACACCAGCTCTCCTATCTGAGCATTGTAACACTGTCTTTCAACATATGCGGTCCTTGAGCTTCTTTTCCATTGATTCGTTCATTTCTGACAAAACATCCTACCCCTAACTTGCAGGGCACGGAATCGCGCAAGGCGCAGGTGTCTCAGCTGCAGCATCAGCTGCTGTGCGCGTCTGCAACCCTGCAGGAGCGAGAGAAGGACCTGGACGCGCTCAGGCGCATGCTGGAGGAGTCCCAAGGCAAGCGCTGGCGGCGGGCGCGGCAGATCAAGCGCATGGAGTGCGAGCTGGCTGCGCTCAGGGAGGAGCTCGGGCGGGAGAGGAAGAGGCGGCGGCCGGAAGGGAGCGGGGGAGAGGGCGGGGACGAGGAGCGTGAGGAGAGCCCAGAGCGGTTGGCTTCTGGGCCGGCGGCCGTAGTTGGAGCGGTGCGGTCTGAGCGTGAGCAGGAGGGAAGCGGGACGCCTGGTCTTATCTTGGCGCCGAATCCTGGACAAAGTGGGCTGTATGCAAGAAGGTTTAGGAGCCGGGTGGCTGCTATGGCCGCTGAGGGCAGGGACGGGGGTGTGGAGAAGGGTGAGAAGAATGACAGTGAGGGTGGGAAGGTGGGGGGAGGTGGAGTGGTGGGGGTGTTTGAGTTCAAGTCTCCTGCTGCTGCTCGTGCTGCTGCTTCTCCTGACCTTTTCGCTCGTGGTGTTGCTGCTCATGCTGCTGCCGTTGCTGGTGCAGCAGCTGCTGCTACACCTGCTCGGCTCGCAATAGAAGGTGGTCTCAGTATGGTGGTGATGGCTGGAGTTGATGGGGAAGAAGAGGATGAAGAGGAAGCACCCAAGGCACTGAATTTTGACCTGGTGGAGAAGGAAGAGGAGACAGGCGCAGGTGTGGTGGATGGTGAGAAGGAGGAACTCCTGGAGGCAGATCAGGGCGAGAAGGGCACGACGGAAGCTGTGGTTGCAGAAGAAGAGTCGGTGGAAGAGGAGCTTGTGGCCTTAAGGTCTCGCTTTGAGCAGGAGGTGATGGGTGAGATAGTGGGCGGGCTCGACATGGAAGTTTCTCGGCTTCGAACGCTGCTGGCCGAGGCTGAGAAGAAGCAGGCAGCAGGTGCTGCTGCTGCTGCTGTTGACGCTGCTGCTTCTGAGGCTGCTGCTGAGGCAATGGGAGGGCTTCAGGAGGAGGTTTCCCTGCTCCAGAAGCAGCTGGGCGAGGCTGAGAAGAAGCACGGAGAGGCAGAGGAGGAAGCAGCACAGGCGAGCGTGAAGCTAGCGGTGCTGCAGAAGGAGCTTGCTGCTGCTGAAGCAATGGGAGGAGTGGTGAAGGCGCTTCAGGAGGAGGCCGCACAGGCGAAGTTGAAGCTGACGGTGCTGGAGAAGGAGCTCGCTGCTGCTGAAGCGGCGGTTATGCACGAGAGGAGGGCTGCTGCTGCTGTGAGGGTGGATTTGTCTGCTGTGACAAGCGAGCGCGATGGTTTACAGCAGAAGGTGGTGATCTTGGAGCAGCAGGAGCGGGCAATTGTGGAGGAAACGGGACCTGTGCAGGGGAGGGAGATGCGGAATGAGATTGATGCGATGAAATCTGAGGTCGCTGCTATGGTGAGTGAGAGAGACAGGCTACTTGAGAAGGTAGTGGAGTTAGAGAAGCAGGTGCAGGCTGCTGTTGAGGAGAAATGTGGACTGGAGGAGAGGCTGTTGGAGGGAGATGCTGAGAGGCAGCGACTAGTGGCAGCTGTGCAGCAGAAGAGTGGGGAGATTGAACGGCTGGAGGTGATGGTTGCGGAGATGGGGAAGAGAGAGGAATCGCAGCACATGGGGATGGACGTTACTGGTGGTGAGGGGATGGGAGAGTGCACGCAGGCGGCAGAGGCAGGGAGTGGGGATGAGGAGGCAGTGGGCAGTGGCGTAGAGGCTGGAGAGCAGGGGTTTGAAGGGGAAGTGAGTAGGCTGCAGGCGCTGGTGGGGGAGATGAAGGTGAGGGAGGAAGCAGCAAAGAAGGTGGCAGCAGAGAAGGCTGCTCTGGCCCAGCGGCTGGAGGGGAAACTGAGGAAGGTGGAAGGGGAGTTAAAGGAGAGGGAAGGGAAAGAGGCGCTGCTGAAGCGGCAGTGCAAGAACGCAGAAGGAGAGCTGGAAGCTGTGAGGGAGGAGGTGAAGGCTGCAGTGCAGGCGAGGCAGGGGATTGAGGCACAGGTGAGGGGTATGGTGGAGGAGGCTGCAGGGCTGAAGCGGGCGGCTGATGAGGCGGAGAAGGGGCGTCTGGAAGCAGAAGCGAAGCTGGCAGGTGCTGACGGGCAGCTAAAGAGGCTTGAGGCGGAGTTGGAGGTGGTCCGGGCAGCAAATGCAACTCTGGAGGGTGAAAAGGGAGAACTGGTGTTGCAGCTGGAAGCTGAAGTGGAGCAGTTGAAGGAGAAGGTTGCTGAGTATGAAAGGCAAGCGGAGGAGGCGCAGAGGGGTGCGGCAGCTGCAGCGGAGTGGGTTGAGCAGGAGCTGAAGGTGAGTGCAAGCCGGGTGAGTCAGTTAGAGAAGGAGGTGGAGAGGCGGAAGCAGGGGGAGAAGGAGCTGAGGAAGGAGATTCAGAGGCTGGAAGGAGAGAGGGATCTGAGCAAGAAGCTGCTTGCTGCAAAGGAGATTGGCGAGGGGATCACGGCAAGAGGGGAGGGGAATCGTTCCATGGGGGCGAGCAACAGGGCTACTGGGGGTGGGGGGGTGTTTCCAAAGGTTGTGAACGAGGCTGGTGCGGAGGAAGGGGGGGTGGGTGCTGGGCGATCTGCACTGAGGTCCCGGGCAGGAGGGAATGGGGCAGGGGTGGAGGCGACTGGTGGGAAAGGGAATGTGAACCAGAAAATTGCTGTTCTATCTGCCGCCTTCCGTGTTGCCAGCCCCACCAAACCTGTGAAGCCGCAGAGGCTTGCTAAGGTGCCTGGGTTGGAAGGGATTGTTGCGGTGGACAAGGAGAACGAGGGAGTGTAGAGGAGTGGTGGATATATACTGTAAGAGCTTTCGAGGGGGGAGGTAGGGGTGGGGGTGGTGAGGAGGGGGAGAAGGGGGGATGTCGTGTGTCGAGTCATAAGTGGGATAAGCCATTTTGTCCCAGACAACACGTGCAATGTAGGTGTTATTTCTCTCTCATACAATGGTATTCCTTTTTTTTTTTTCCCAGTTATATGCAATGTAGGAACGGGCATCTGTTGTTGGTATGCACTATGCTGGCAGGATATTCCGTGTCAAGTACTGTGGGAATGCTATAATGCAGTGAAATGTACGTCCTTCAACAATTACCGATATGCAACGTTTATATCACTACATCATGCGTTCAGGGTAAACGGTTGGAAATATCTTTCCGGGTGAGCTTTTGGCGCGAACGTTGGGGGCGGTTGCAAACTTGTGACCTGCTACAGTACTGCATTTCACTAAGGGATTTCTCTTTCAATACAACTTGGAGCGAACGTTTGCATCAATACGTACTGGAGGGGCTGGGGCTACTGTACTGTATACCGAGACCAACGGTTAGGGTTTAGGGTGGCCATGCAGTTGTATCTGCCCGTCTCTTCAAACTGGACTAAAATTTCGGGCAAGAGGCCTTTCAAGCGGTGAGAAGGCCTCTTGAACTCATGATTGATGTGACATGATGCGCCGTGTTGTTCGTGCTTCGGAAAATAATTCAGCCGTCAACACCGCCACCAAACTGTCACCAGCATTTGCGAAATCCTCGCCAGCTCTCGCAGCCGCATGGACAGCAAGGACATGAGCCATTCGCGCCAAACCTATCGCCAGTTACCGCCACCTTAGAGACACTCTGTCACTCACAGCCAAGAACGTCTCGTCGCATTTCGATATGCGACAAGAGCTTTCGCTACGCGACGAACCCAAGCCATTGGCTTCCCAGCTTCTTTTATGGCTGTCCCTGCAGCATCCCCCTAGCGTCCTTCCCTCGCCTCTTATTCTCGAATCGCGCGCCACCCCACGAGATTCATTCACAGCCAGGCTTTTTGAGCAAGGAGAATCATATCTGGCTAATACCACCTCCTCCAGCACGTCACATGCTAGTGCTACTGCTTCCTGCCAGTTCGCTCTTTAATCGGGTCTGTGTCTTTATATGATCTCCACTACTAATGGCCGCACTGAACGTTCTTTTGGACCAGAACGTTGTCAGTACGCGTTCTTTTTGTGAAAGCTCCGCTTTTGTTGCGGCATTTCAACACTTTCTGACACTGAGTTGGTTACTCCCGCCGACGACTGAACTGCTCTCAAAGCATCTCAGGATTGCCGTTTTCTCGTTCATGAATCGCGTTCTCGACGCGCAGCAACAGATGCCACGGCGATAAAACTGCGCACACGCAGTTTGTCTTGCAACGACAGGCGAACTCGTAGCGAATATGGACGGGAGTAACAGTAACGAAGCCCATTCCTCGCTTTTGGCACGACGTCACGCGCGAAACCTCCCGGAACTCACAACCGCGCAAGCTCGCAAGGGAGACTCTCATAATGGCGGGATTCATAAAAGCGGGTTTCATAATAAAGAGTTCTATAACAGCGAGTCTCAGCATTATTTGACTCCGAATCAAGGCGGGTTCCTTGACTGCAGTTTTCAAGACGGCAGCTCTCCGGAAATCGGGTTCCAAATCCGCGCGTTCGACGGCGAGCGTCGCGGACGTGATTACAGCGCGAGCGCCAGCGAGGGTGTGAGAATAACGAAGGATCATGTTGATCCCAGGCTCGGCGCTTTCGACGTTGATTGGTTGAGCCAGCCTCGGCACCCGCCAGCGAAGCGGCTGGAGCGGCGCACGTCTCTGTCCCCCCTGGCGCAACTTCAGGAGTTTTATCAGGTGCCGTCGGCGCAGGAACAGAAACCGCGGCAGGGGACGGGGGAGCGGATGCGGCAGGGGACGGGGGAGCGGATGCGGCAGGGGACGGGGGAAGGGAAGGAGGAGGGCCAGGGGAAGCAGCAGAGCCAGCTGTTGCTTAGTCAGCAATTGCAGTCAGGTCGCAACCAAAGCGGGGCGGTCACGCGGCTCCGTCGACGCTCGTCCATCGACTTAGCGGATGTCGCGGCGGCGAGAGCGGCGGCATCCGCGGCCAAAGAATCACCCTCGGCTCGTGGCTATGAGACTTCCAGCAAAGGCGGCGCCGCCGGCAGCAGTCCTGCTGACGGCGGCGCGAGGAGACTCCATCTGTCGAACCGCCAGGCGAGCGGAGATTGGGCTGCGTATGTTGCGCAGGGGAAGAGCGGCGCGCAGAATACGCGCGCTCCAGCGCATGAGCAGCGGGGTCGGTCGCTTTCCCCCTTCGCTAACGCCTCCGCGGAGGTCGAGCTCGCGGATCCTCGCTTGCGCGAGAGCGGAGGAGGCGGCGCAGATCCTGCGCATCATGCGCAATACTTCCCGCCCAAATCCCCGCGAGCTGCCCGCCTCCCCCTTGGTTCCCCGAACTCTTCCGCGAATGAGCCCGCTGGTCCGCCTATGCCCGCGCTTGACCCCACTCAAGCGGGGATGCTCTTTTCCGCCGTTTTGCACCGCGGGAAAGGCGCCGGTTCGCCCGAGGCGGCGGAATCGGCGGAGGTTCGCACTCCCCCCGCATCAGGGGGAAGTTCCGCTGCGTCGGGGCATAGGCGGGGTCATCGGCGCGCAGCTAGCGCGCAACTGAACTCTATGGACACCGCGGCGGTGCTTTTCGGGCGGACAGCGCAAGCACCCGCGCAAATGGCGGAGGCGCAAGATCAGGCGCAAGAGCAGGCGCAGGGGCAGAAGACGGGAGCTGAAGCGGAGGAATCAGGGGAAACGCACAGGCGCGCGCAAGCGCAGGGGCAGGGGCAGCATATGAAGGAGCGGGAGCGGGAGCGGCCTACCACGGACCACGTCACTTTTCCCGCCGGAATTTCCGCGAGAACAAGAGCAAGCCTGATCATGCCGAAATCGCCCAGCAGCGGAAGCTTGCGAAACCGCAGCCCGCTAAAAGCGTCGCAATTTACTGGTCGTCGGGAATTGACCTCGATTGGTAGCAGCGGCAGCAGCGGCGGGAGTAGCGGCAGCATCGGCGGCAGCAGCAGCGGCGGCGGAAGTGGTAGCGAGAGCAGGGAGAGGCTGTCGCTTAAGTCTGCTATTAGCGGGAGTGGCGGCGGTAGTAGCGGCACAGGCAGCGGCAAGGTTAGCGGTGGCGAAGGAACAGATGCGCGGAGCAGGACGGGTGGCGCAAGCGCACGTGCGCCTGGTGTGCGCGCAAGTGCAAGTGTCGGAAACGCAAGTGGAAACGCAAGTGTCGGAAGTGCAATTGTCGGAAGTGCAAGTGTTGGAAGCGCAAGCGGAAGAAGCGCAAGTGGAGGAAGCGCAAGTGGCGCGAGCGCGCTCTTCCGTGCGGAGCGCGAGCGCTCGCCCCCGCTCTCGTCCCCCCTCTCCCGCCCGCGCCTCCTTTGTCACGTGTCCCTGGGCCCCGCGATTAGCGCCGAAATTCGCGCCGCCGCGAATGAGGTCGTGCGGAGAGAGGGGGGAGAGGCGGGAGGCGCACAAGGAAAGGACAGCGGCGCAGGGGGGAGCGGGAGGGGAAGGGGCGGAAACGGGGACGATGGAGGAAGGGAATTTCCCGGAAACAGGAAGGCGGGAACAAGCGGGCGGCACGCACTATCATTGGGTTTAAGCTTTTCGGCGGGGCGAGAAGAATCTTCTTTGGGATTAGGGTTAGGGGGCTGGAGCGCAAGTATGGCGGCTTTCGCTGGCGGAGGGGGGAGTGCGGGCGGAGGGGGTGGGGCCTGCGCAGGGGGAGCGGGAGGTGGGGTTGTCCAATCGCCGAACAGGAGACGGGGAATCCAGGAATTCGCGTTTCAGCCCGTCGCGTCTCCTCTTGGGGGTAACACTTTAGCTTCTACAGTAGGAAACAGTTATACTGTAGAAAAAGATATGCTTTCATCAGGGTCGATGTATTCTTCCGAGGCTTCCCCTAAGGGGCGTGGGGGAATGGGAGGGGGCGGGGAGGCGGGGAAGAGTGTGAGTTGGAGGGGGAGAAACGAGAGGAGGCCGCTTGCCACATCAGCAATAGAAGAAGAGACAGGGGGAGGAGTAGGATTAGGGGGAGGAGGGGAGGAAGGTGATGGGGTGCTGGAGAGAAGTCTAAGTGCTAGGAGGCGTGACCAAGTGGAAATGGAACGAACACTAAGTGCCAGACGAAGGGAAGCAGCAGCACTTACTGCTGCAACTGCACTGTTTGATGCAGGGGTGGGAGGAGGAGGAGGAAGAGTAGGAGGAGGAAGAGGAGGAGAGAGAGGAGGGAGTGGGGAAGGGGAAGGAGAAGATGGAGAGGTGGGGTTGGAACGAACTTTGAGTGCGAGGAGGAGGGATCAATTGGAACTAGAACGGAGCCTTAGCTCAAGGCGACGATGTGAGGCTTTAAGTTTTGAGACATCGCAAAGCTCACGAAGAGGGGAAACTGGTGTTGGTGTTGGCTTGGGCATGCGCCGTTCTCCAAGTGAAAGTGCTTTAAACGAGAAGGCAGCGAAAAGTGCTGCAGTGAGTGATTATGATAAGAGGGTGTCTCGTTTCCCGTCATTGTCACCACCATCATCTTTATCCGAGTCTCCCGTTTCGCTTTCTCCCATTGGCTCTTCCATGCCGAAGCAGCGCCAAGCCTCCTTGCAAGGCTCGGGAGAAATGGAGCTTGAGGAGGAAGGTACGGATGAGGAGGAAGAAGAGGGGGAGAGGGAGAGAGAGAGGGAGAGAGAGAAGGAAAGGGAGAAAAAGCAGGAGATTATTCGGAAGCAGGAGGAGTTGCAGCAGCAGCGAGCAGCACTCCAAAAGCAGCAAGAGGAGCTGATGAGGCAGCAGCAGCTGCTGCTGCAGCAGCAGGAGGAGTTGCGGTTACAGGAGGAGAGTCTGCTGGCAGAGCAGGAGCAGCAGGAGAGGGAGAAGGCGAAGGAGAAGGAAAAGGAGAAGGAGAAGAAGAAGGGGCAGGTGCGGCAGTTGCAGCAGCAGCAGCAGCAGCAG